CCGAAAAGGCGCCCCCCTGTTGGCGCCCCCTCCCCTTTTGGTGCCCCTCCCTAAAATTGAACAAATTAGGTGATTTTAGAGGATACGCCGGTAAAATCTCTAAAAAAGTGTGTATCTAGAGCAAAACGCGCAGTTTTGCTAGTACTTTAGTTAAGTTTTCGAAATTGTCCCACATTCAAACGACGATTTGGCGCCCCCCTAAGACGGCGCCCCCCTGCACAGCGGGGTCAGCAGGGCCCTTCGTTACGCCACTGCCTCGAGTCCAAAATTGTGTATCGAGGGGAAGGTGTGGACTTCGAAAAACCGAAAAAATATTTTCGGCAAATAATGAACAGGGTAGCATGAAACGTGGAGATAAGCGGTTTTCAGAAAAAATTTGAAAAATGCTGACTTAGAAAATGTTCGGTCCGAGTCATTTTCGATACGTACCTCCCGTATCGAGAGCTCCCGATTCCGAGCTCGTGTTGCAAAGGGGAGGCCTGCCTTCCGAGATCGCATTACCTCGAGTCCAAAATTGTGTATCGAGGGGAAGGTGTGGACTTCGAAAAACCGATAAAATATTTTCGGCAAATAATGAACAGAGTAGCATGAAACGTGGAGAAAAGCGGTTTTCAGAAAAAATTTGAAAAATTTTGACCGAAAAAATATTTTCGGCTTAAAATGAACAAGGTAGCATGAATTGTGAATCGTGGAGAAAAGTGTTTTTCAAAAAAACTTTGAAAAATTTTGACTTAGAAATTACCCCTCGGTACACAATTTTGGACTCGAGGCTTCCCCCTGGTAATGCGATCTCGGAAGGCAGGCCTCCCCTTTGCAACACGGGCTCGGAATCGGGAGCTCTCGATACGAGAGGTACGTATCGAGAATGACTCGGGCCGAAAATTTTCTAAGTCAAAATTTTTCAAAGTTTTTCAAAAAACCACTTTTCTCCACGTTTCATGCTACCTCTTCATTATAAGCCGAAAATATTTATTTTGGTTTTTCGGTTTATCGAAGTCTGCACCTACCCCTCGATACACAAATTTGGAATCGAGGCTTCCCCCTACCTGGTAATGCGATCTCGGAAGGCAGGCCTCCCCTTTGCAGTGCGAGCTTGTTTCGACTGCCGAGGATGTAGGTCTCACTTCTCAGTGCCTATTACTCTCCCCTATTACTCACTCCTGCTGTAGCCTGTAGAAATAACTTTACACTAGGCTTGAGTAATTATGAGTTTGCCTGAAGTGTGCCTTTACTAACCTAGTATAAGCATCTAGTAGCCTACTATGAGCTTTCATAAGCTTGTTACGCCCCTAGTAAGCGTAAATAAACATGTTAGGATGTCCAATTTAGGTGTTAAATGGTGTTAAAGATGAAATTTTGAAGACAAAATTCATGGCATAAAATGGAGAAAATGGAGAATTACTCATGGGTTTTTCCATTTTCTCCATAGAAAAAGTGTGACTTAAAGTATTATCTCATATGCTGTCTCGTCCCTTTTTACTTTTCTAAACCCAGCTGGCATTTAAGCGTATAATTTTGACTCATATAACAGCTTACACCATCCTCCACCAATCACTCTGATTTCACCGGCAACCTTCCCCAAGGTTGCCACACCCCAGAGGTAGGCAGAGCATCTCAATGCTATCCTCTCGTGGGCTATCTTGGCCCAGCCTCTCTTTAAAAAAAAAGGAAAAAAAAGAAAAAGGCAGGCCTCCCCTTTGCAACGCGGGCTCGGAATCGGGAGCTCTCGATACGAGAGGTACGTATCGAGAATGACTCGGGGGGGGGGGGGGGGGGGGGGGGGGGGGGGGGGGGGTTTCGGCCGTTGATTACGTAATCAAAATTTTCTTTTTTGCCCTCTAGAATAATAACAATTTGACAATATTTTAATTCAAATTCCACTCAATTTCACTCTGATAGTGATAAAATTTAGAAATTGATTGAATATACGGCTATAATAGTAAATAGTGCTTGGCCGGATATCTTGATACATGTTTAATTTCGTAATATCGGCCTTCGGCGGCGCGCGCTTCGCGCGCGAAAAGTGGCATGCAACGTATGTCAACGGATATCATAACAATGATTTTGGCTCATCATGATAGCATGATCATTGACGGATGTTACTCGTCTAAATTTCTTCGAAGTAGCGCGCGCCGGGCCAGATCATTAACAATGGTCAACATAATCACAGATCAAGGTAGGCGGTGCACGATAAAAATAAACTTGCTCGGATTTTCAAAATTTTGTACCATCGTTTTCTAGAGACTGTGAGAATTTTCACAGTACCAAATTTATCATACCTTTTTGGAATGATCAGTGAGTTTCGCCTAGGTGCCATATTTGATGGTGCGCGGCTTTTGGAGCAAAATTAGGTGTAAAAGTCGCGTAATTTGACGAAATTCGTTGATTTTTGTCGTATTATTCTGTCATATCTTCGGTTCCTGAACATGAATCATGCTGAAAATTTGTCAGAACCTTCCAATCATACTTAACTACCGAACCTAATTTAGTTGGGAGAGATTGGCCTTGATTAAGAGGTCTAAAAATGACAAAATAGGTATAAATTCGTTGATAACTCAAATTCTGAGCATCGAAATTGCTCAAACTAAATTAGGTTCAGTAGAACATAAGTGTTTACGTAAGCTGATCAAATTTCAACAAAATTGTTATATGAGAAGTATTATAACTTTTCGATTGTTTCCAAAATAATGTGCTGGCCGAAATAAGAGCTAAAAAACCATTCAATGGTCAGCGCGCGCGTCATATTGTCGATGGCGCACTGCCTAATCAAGGTAGCACGAAACGTAGAGAAAAGTGTTTTCTAGGAAAAAATTCAAGGGGGGGGGGGGTCCAGGCCATGATTACGTAATATTGCTGTCAGGAGGGGGGGTTGGGTCTTGATTACGGTTGATTACGGAAGGGGGGAGGGGGGGGGGTAAAAATTGCTAAAATATTGATTACGTAATATGTGAACGACCCCTTAGAAAATGTTGACTTAGAAAATGTTCGGTCCGAGTCATTTACGATACGTGTACCTCCCGTATCGAGAGCTCCCGATTCCCAGCTCGTGTTGCAAAGGGGAGGCCTGCCTTCCGAGATCGCATTACCTCGAGTCCAAAATTGTGTATCGAGGGGAAGGTGTGGACTTCGAAAAACCGAAAAAATATTTTCGGCAAATAATGAACAGGGTAGCATGAAACGTGGAGAAAAGCGGTTTTCAGAAAAAATTTGAAAAATTTTGACTTAGAAATTACCCCTCGGTACACAATTTTGGACTCGAGGCTTCCCCCTGGTAATGCGATCTCGGAAGGTAGGCCTCCCCTTTGCAACACGGGCTCGGAATCGGGAGCTCTCGATACGAGAGGTACGTATCGAGAATGACTCGGGCCGAAAATTTTCTAAGTCAAAATTTTTCAAAGTTTTTTCTAAAAACCACTTTTCTCCACGTTTCATGCTACCTCTTCATTATAAGCCGAAAATATTTATTTTGGTTTTTCGGTTTATCGAAGTCTGCACCTACCCCTCGATAAACAAATTTGGACTCGAGGCTTCCCCCTACTTGGTAATGCGATCTCGGAAGGCAGGCCTCCCCTTTGCAGTGCGAGCTTGTTTCGACTGCCGAGGATGTAGGTCTCACTTCTCAGTGCCTATTACTCTCCCCTATTACTCACTCCTGCTGTAGCCTGTAGAAATAACTTTACACTAGGCTTGAGTAATTATGAGTTTGCCTGAAGTGTGCCTCTACTAACCTAGTATAAGCATCTAGTAGCCTACTATGAGCTTTCATAAGCTTGTTACGTCCCTAGTAAGCGTAAATAAACATGTTAGGATGTCCAATTTAGGTGTTAAATGGTGTTGATTCACGATGTCAATCCTTCGCATCTCGCCGATCTGTGGTTGCGAGAAGCATTATTTGATGCGCGCGCGACCCAGTAGTGCATCGCGCTACAATAAATGGTGTTAAAGATGAAATTTCGAAGACAAAATTCATGGCATGAAATAGAGAAAATGGAGAATTACTCATGGGGTTTTTCCATTTTCTCCATAGAAAAAGTCGCCATTTTATGCCATTTTATGCCATTGCCCCCCCCCCCCGTTTCGACGATACAGGGGGAGCCGCGCACTCGTGCGCGGCGGGTCATACAACGTACGACAATTTAATATTTAAACAGATTGAAGCTGCCGCAGAATAACAGGCTGAGCACCGCCCAGTATTTTGACGGGACATAATTTTGAACGTTTAAAATTCGGACATAAATAATTTAAATGAACGCTCGAAGGCATGTGTTTAATTTAGCTACCTTGTTATAAAACATAAAACTTTATTTAAGTGGACCGGCCGACATTAAAATTATTAATATAACGGGTAATACTCGTAAAATATTTGTTCCAAATATTAATATCAAATATTCCAGGACCGTCGACGCGAGTCCAACTCGGCGCGCTTCCTGGTAGGTTATAAACTTACAATGAAATTAACGCAATTGCCTCCACACTCCATCGTTCAAGTTAAGTCTGATAAGCCTAAGGTATCAAATATATGAAACGACGATGGTATGGGGGTCATGACGTGATACAACATTTTACAAGGTCACGTCAGTGAAGATGGCACCCCTTTATCGTCCTGACGATACAGGGGGAGCCGCGCACTTCTTGCGACGTGGGGGTCGCAACGTGATACAATCCGGCCCGGCGCGCGCTACTTCGTAGCACTTGCCGTCGGTTAACATTTCGAGAAGAAAGCGGCGCGCGCTACTTCGAAGAAATTTAGACGAGTAACATCCGTCAACTGCAAGCGAGAGGGCTCTGGTAATTAGATCAAAAGGAAGAGCGAGGAGGGGCTTTTTAAACAATTATGCTAGTGTAATTTTAACACAATGACAAATGATCATTGTATCACGTCGTGACCCCCACGGTCGTCGCGTTTCAACCCATAGCCTGTAAAGTTTATACGATCGCGATATACGGGAGCCACGCACTCGTGCGCGGCGGGTCATACAACAGTTTTAATACTTTCAACACTACTATATAACAAATAATTTGAGGATGTACCATGGAAGTCTAGAGTACCCGCAACAAGATATGCAGCTGTAAACGACTTGGTAACGGGGTGCATGTGAGCTCTGGGGGCCAGTGGCATCAGAAGACTGGCTATCAGCCTTGAAAATAAGATGAGTTCTTTAGATTCATGTCACATCTGCACTGCATCTCCATCACAATGACACAAACACTCTCTCCTTCACTACCCTACCCTACCCTAGCCTAGCCCTACCCCTCCCTCCTTTTACCTGTTGCGGGTACTCTGGACTGCATGGACATACTTGAATAGAGGTATTTTATATAGTAGTGTTGTGGTATTATACCGTGTACATGTATATATATTCTATCCTATATATCAATATATTCTATATCTATATATAATACTGTATCTTTTCTATACAAACTTTTCCTTACCCCCGCCTCCCCTTCCTCTATAAATTGTACTCAAATCCCACACCCAACCTGCTATTGACTTACTAAATAACCTCTATATCTCTACATTGGGCCATAGCAGTCCACCCCGCTCCCTTCCCCTCCCTCCCCTATTCCACCAAGCACCAACATCTCTCCAAATCACATCACAAACTCTCATGTAATTAGACCTTGTGTTCCTTTTTTATCTTATTTTGAAAATAATTTTGTTTAACTTTACCTCTCTACCTGATATCACTCACCCCTGTCAAAACTGTGTTACTCTCATTATCTTATTTTCAGGCTGTTGGTTGGTTTGATGGTGCCCTGGCCCCCATCTCATTATGTGCTCCCTACCATCTATTCTTCATGCAAGACAGAACTCTTACTGAAGATAATTCTCGATCAACGAGATCGAGAAACAACTTCTTTTCCCCCTGGATGGAAATGTTATTGACTTTACGAAACCTATCACCATCACGACGCCCGGATGCTATGTGCTTAGCAATCCTGACTCTGGTTGTAGAATCAGTCTCTTTCAGGATGTGTTTGCAAGCCAACTGTGTGACCAATTTTCCTCTGAAATCGAAAATACTGGCACCCTTAAACAGTACAACACAATCCACAGGCAGTCTCAGGCGCCACTTGCACTTCCAAGACTCTCGTCATGGTTTGGACCCGTAGACTATGCGTTCTCAGGAATCGTAATGAAAGCTAATTCTGTCTCCCAATGTCCTCGCCTTATTGCAGCATATCAGAACATGGCCGAAAACCTCTTCACACCCAACAACATTGATTGCTCCTCTGACTGCTTTTTGATCAACCAGTATAGAACTGGACGTGATTCCTGTGGTGAGCACAGTGACAACGAGCCAGAGGTCGACCTCTCAAAACCTGTCGTTACTCTGTCACTTGGCCAACAGCGCTGCATGCTCATCAGAGAGGCTAAGAACCCTGGAAATGCCATCACAGTCAAACTCGACCAGGGTTCAGTTCTTGTAATGCATGGTACTGATTTCCAAAAGAAGTATACGCATCAAATACCCAAAGATAATGTGATCACTAATTCACGTACCTCTGTGACCTACAGGACCTGCAGCTCCACTTTCCTAAGAAACCGAAGTGCCTTATCTACACCCCTGAAAGATATTTCTATCACTCCTATACTTGCCCCCAAGACCCCTGGAGTCTCAGGCTCACCATCGCTACCTCTGCACAACAGACGTAGATCCTCCTTGTCTCTGTCTAGCTTCTCACAAGTTGACACCAGCTCAGTCGGGTCTCCAGTGGCCAGTAGTTCTCCTTCCATAACCAGCAGCAAAGCATCAGTCTCTGATAGTGATACATTGCCTCTCAGCATAGATGCCATGCTTGAAGCCATTGATCTAATGAAAGACAAAACCGTGAAAAGCGAACTTTCTCGCCATGGCAGCACAAACTCTGGAACCCCTCTGGATTGTAAGAAAAGACTGAAGAAAGTTGCGAAAGCATGTCACAAACGCCTGAGCACGCTTCTTGCTGAGCCTCCAGTAGTCTCAGCTGAGCCCGAATGCGTTACCCATTCCCTCCAAACTTTGGAAAACTCTGTTATTGATCTACAATCCAAAATAAGTCTACAACATAGCACCCTCCAAACACTTGTCTTATGTTCTGACAGTAATTCCAATCAAAAAGTTAGTGCCAGCCCCCCTAACCTGTCTAATGAACTCAACACTATGGACAAGAGACTTGAAAAGTTAGAGGATATAATGAGCAGCATAAACGAAAAACAACATGAAACTGCCACCTCCCTTAAAGCCTTCGAAGCAGATGTCACTGCAATTAAGAACAAAGTAGATGACTCTAAGGCCTGCCTACAGTCTCTCCAGCTTAATGACCGCACCAACCCATCAAGAAAAAAGCCATCGCCTCATCCTCAAAACCAGAACCACCCAACCCACAGCCCTAGTAGACAAACGCGAAAACCAAAAAAGGTTCTACTCCTACATGACTCCCAGATGAACAACTTTCTACCTGAGTCATTTTCCTCTGGGTTCAAGGTGGAAAAAATGAAAGTAGGCTCTTATACTGACATGATAAAAGACCACTGTATGAGAGATGTCATTAAACAGCCAGAGGTCGACTGTTACATTCTCCAGCTTGGAGTCAATGACTACAGATACAGAACCTGCTCTGTTAATAAAGCGATTGAGGATGCAAAATCAGTCATCGATAAACTCCTCTCGAGCTCCAGTGCAAAGGTTGTCATCTCCCTACCCACCCCAACCCCTGGATTAATCAGTGAACTTACCAACCAATTTGTCTCAGAAATAACACAATTTGTCTCAGCTAAAAGAGGGTTAAGTGACTTTTACCGCCGCCTATATACTGTAAACAATACTGGAAACTTTTCCCGTGCCATCTCTGCTGCTGAGTCATCCCAAGACTCTCCTAACCCGTTGAAGGAGGACCAACTCCATGTCTCAGAGTATGGTTTGAAAAAACTTTGTTTGAATATTAAACTTGGCCTATACCGTGCCTTTGGTATGAGATCCCCTAGAAAGCAGCCCCCTACAGAGCGTTAGATTAACCCTAAAATTCAAGAAAAAACAAGTATCACGAGATCAAGTAGCTGTGATGTCCTGGAACATCCAGGACAGCACAGGAGACGGGTCTAACAAATTTGAAAATAGCGAATTTTTGTCAATCCTCAAACAAGCTAACATTCTTTGTCTCCAAGAAACAAAGAAGCAAGTTAAGATTGAAGGATACCTCTCTTTTAATAGCAACCGCAAAAATTCACGCTCAGGAGGGGTCTGCATTCTTGCTGAAAATGGCCTAAGAAAAGGTGTCTCTAGTGTGCTTTGTAATGAATCTGATGACATTATTGTTGCTAAACTGGACAAGAACTTTTTAAAACTTGATTTTGACCTATTTTTGGTATGTTATTATATTAGCCCTGCATACTCGTCCTATGTCAAGAAGAATCCAGATTATACTGCTAATACCTTCTCTGCTCTTGACTCTATCTGTATCAGACTACGTCAAAAGGGAGAAGTTATTATGTGTGGCGATGCAAATGCAAGAACTGGAAAACTCCCAGACTATATCCTTTCCTGTAATGCACCTGCCATCCATGACATCTATAACGACATTGGACTCGAGCACGACATAGAAGAACCAAGAAATAATTCTGACCTTACAATATCTGAACCCCACTGCCAACACTTTCTTGACATGGTTATCAATAACCAACTCAAAATTCTTAATGGTCGTACCCTTGGGGACACCACTGGAAAAATGACCTGTCACAAATACAATGGAAGCAGTGTGGTTGACTATTTTGTAATCACCTCCTGGGCAAGAGATCATGTAAACTCTCTCCAAGTAAAAGAGTTTACATCATACTCTGATCATTGTCCATTAGTCTTGAAACTCACTACATTTGAACCATTTGTCGCAAACTTCCAGCTCCCAGACTTTTCTAACTTTCCTTGTGGCTATAAGTGGGATAGCAACACCTCCCATTCACTATTTAAAAAAGCCCTTACCTCGCCCGAAATTATCAACAATCTGGAAAGCATTGTGACAAATGAATTTAGCAGTACTCTGGAGGGCAATCACGAACTGAACGATGCAGTCATAAAATGTCTCCACAGTGCTGCTGATATAGCCTTAAAAGTGAAAAAGCCTCCCAAAAATTCTGCCCGTAAGAAATGGTTCGACCCACAAGTCAACTCCTCGCGGCGAAACCTAAATAGGCTAGCAAACCGGCTTGGTAGTAAGCACTGTAACAGTATCCTCAGACGAGAATACTTTAAGCAACGCAACAAGCATAGCAATTTTGTAAACAGTAAGAAAGTAGCTTTCCTTAAGAAGTTAAATGAAGCTATAGAAGAAGGTCACATACTCGACTGGAAAAAATTTAAACGGCTTAAACAAGAACATGACACTAGCCCCTTACTTGACAAATTTGATTTAGCTAGCTTCCATGACTTCTTTGCATCCCTTTATAAAAAACCAGACCAGGAGCCAGATCTCACTCACCACAATCACAAACATTACCCTGAACCACCAGATCTGGATATCCTAAATAAGCTCATGTCAGAATCTGAAGTGACCTCTGCCATCAAAAATCTCAAAAAAGGTAAAAGTTGCTCAAACGACTTGATATCCAACGAGATGCTTCAGAGCGTAACTCCGCTTTGTCTCAAAGCCATCCTCAAAAACTTCAACCACTCACTGGTCTCTGGTTACTATCCATGGCACACCAGCATCATTACTCCTATTTACAAGTCTGGCAACCCTTTCAGCCCGGACAACTACAGAGCAATAGCTGTTGGTAGCTGTATGGGTAAACTATTTTCTAGCATCTTACTTGAGCGTCTCCTGCACTTCAAAAAGCTCTACTGCCCTGACCCAAAAGAACAACTAGGGTTCTCGAAGGGTGCTCAAACAAATGACCACGTTTTTACCCTTAAGACAGTCATTGACAAATATACCAAGGTTAAGAAAGCTCGCCTCTATGCATGCTTTGTTGATCTAAGAAAGGCCTTTGACACTGTATGTAGGGACCTCCTTCTGCACAAAATCACATGCCTTGGAATAACTGGAAACTTCTTCAATTGCCTAAGTGATATGTATAGAAACTCAATAGCTCATATAAAAATCTCCAAACTCTTGTCCCCTAATATTGACATTGGAAAAGGAACAGAGCAGGGACACCCCCTATCACCGGACCTTTTTAAAATCTATATCAACGACTTGTCATCTCTCCTGAAATCTGTTGGTGATTATCCTATTCTAGCTGACGTCCTAATATCACATCTGCTCTGGGCTGACGATCTTGTCCTACTTGCCCTAAGTCCCAAGGCCTTGCAAGACAATATAAACATCCTATTCGACTTCTGTAACTCTATGGGCCTTGAAGTAAACATTAAAAAAACCAAGATTCTCATATTCTGCCCTCCTAAAAGAAAACAATCCTATGAAACATTCATTTTGGGAGGCCAGCCCATCCAACACACCGAAAAATACTGCTATCTTGGCATTATATTCCACAGAAATGGATCTTTTACAGCAGCAAATACTGAACTGAGGGCCAAGGCTCTCCGTGCTCTCTATGGCCTCAAAGGCAATATCGTCAAAGATGCCCTCTCTCACCGTTCCCTAAACATTCTATTTGACTCTCTAATAAAACCGATACTGCTCTATGGCTGCCAAATCTTATGTCCTCACTCAAAAACCATGAGATACCTCTCCAAAACAGATAGCAAAGCCAACCCCCAGCATACTCTCAGGTACATCTCACAAGACCACTATGAAAGATTCCACCTTAAGTTTATCAACTGGTCCTTGTCTGTCCATTCAAAAGCATCAAATATAGGCTGCTGGGGTGAAAGTGGGCGCCACCCCCTCTTCTTTGAAGCCTGCAAACTTGCAATAGATTTCTATAGTCGTCTTGAAAGCACTGAAAATGAACTTCTCTCCGCTGCATTTCACGAGCAGATTATGCTGGGCCTTCCTTGGTACACCAACATCTCTAATCTTCTCACCAAATATAACTTCCCCCACTCATCCTCTTCAAAATCCAAGCTCTCTACCCAAATCAGTCACAACATGAGGGAAGAATTTGTGGATACCTGGAAATCTGCCAAGGCATCCTCACCTAAATTAGAATTCTAAAATCAAATTAAACATGATTTTGAACCAGAAACATACTTAGGAGTGGTTAAGATCCCCGATGCTCGGAAAAGCTTAACAAGGTTTCGTATTAGCTGCCACAATCTTTACATTGAGAGGGGCCGTTACGAAACCCCCCTAGTACCAAGAGAACATCGATGGTGCACTTTTTGCTTTTTCAGCAAGGGGCTTAAGCCTATTGAGGACGAAATTCATGTTCTAACTGACTGTTTACTCTACTCCTCAGTTAGAGAAAAATTTAACTTCCATCCCAAAAATATTGCTGACCTAGCCGATTTGCTATCCGATAAAACACTAGACCCTACAAAATTTACTGCCACAGCAAGAGCAATCCATTCAATTCTCTCTGTGAACGAAAATTTTACAGCCTACTATAAGAGCCCAGATTTCCACTCAAATACTGGCCAATGCATAATGCTATAGGACCTCAAAAATAGTATTATGAAACATTTCTATTTTATCCCTACACATTTGTAAATAACTAGAATTGTGTAACCTTAAATTATTTCAGAATTATAACTATTGTGAATTCAATAAAATAATTATCACTTTTGTATCCTTGTATCCTTGTATCCTTGTATCCTACAACATATGCCAAAATGATCAATTGTGAAATCCAGTTGCGGCTCATGGAAGTTGAAGGATTGTTTTGGAGCTGGAGAGCGTCCAGAGGTGGTTTACCCGTCTTATTGATGAGGGGGTAATCTTCCTTACAGTCGTAGACTATAAATTCTCAATTTGACAACGCTGGCAGAGCGGCGAATACGTGGGGACCTTATTGAAGCTTTTAAGGTTATTAATGGTTTGACCGATTACGGCTCAGATTTGTTCAAAGTGAGCAAATTTGGTCTTAATCTTGTATCATCCAACAGATGTTGTAAAAGTATGGCAAAGATTACGAATCTCCAAAGTTCATTTCTTCCAGATCGAGTTATTCCTTACTGGAACAAACTCCCTCCAGATGTTAAGAACTTGGTGACTGTTTTAAGTTTTAAGATTAAATTAGGAGGGTTTAAGAAAAATATGATTTCTAAGGATATTTCTAATGATTCACATTTTTGGAATGTTCCGAACGAAGTATTAGGGAGAATTGAAGGACCTAGCTATGTTAGTAATAAACTAACTTACTATCTGTAACGAGGTTGTTGTAGAGCCCACACTCCAGCCATGCACTGGAGAAAGCCTTCGCCCTGGTACCATCCTGGATGATGGGGCAAGGCTCGACATAGCAGCTAGAGGTTTGTGGTCACCAATGGAGATGGCATTTTTTGATATCAGGGTTTTACACCCCGGAGCCAAATCCAACGCTAATCACAACACCCCAGCAAAGATGTACAGCAAGCATGAGAGAGAGAAAGAAAGGAAATATGGAGACCGCTGTGTACAAATTGAAAAAGGAACCTGCAATGGCCTTGTATTCTCGACCACCGGAGGTATGGGCCCACAGGCTACCATGTTCCTTAAACGAGTAGCAACACTTCTGGCAGCCAAGACCAGCCAGGACAAAAGCCTCATCATGGCGAATCTAAGACGTCGTTTGAGGTTTGAGCTACTTAAGACAGTATTGATTGCAGTGAGAGGACACAGAGGACGGTATTATGAGAAAGCAATACCTGTTGACGAACTGGACCTAAATCTTGCACACACCACCAACGATGAAGACAGGGGTGATGATGTTGATGATGAAGATAATGAAGTTGAGGATGAGGCTGAGAATGTAGAGGAAGAGGTTTCAGAAGAGTGAGCTGAAAAGAAGACAAGTTTCTATTCTAATTTATTGATTATTATATTTATTGAAATAAACATATAATATCCATTACTCCAGGAGTGATGACAGGATATAGAAAAAAATGTTAGTAATAAAGAGATGCATAATGTTTATCTTTATTTCCACCCTTTTGTGGCAAAAAAGCGATTTGTAAATCTTAATTCCGCTGGGAAGTATGAATAGGGTTATCTTTTGTGTATGCTTTTTGAAATTTTTTATATAAAGTTGTAGTTAATAATTTATTGATTTCGGTGGTAAGATATTTATATTTTTCCATACTTTGGTTTTGATACTTTATAGACATGTGTGATGATGTTATGTCATAATTTATACTTTACTTTACTTTACTTTATCAATAATCATGCATGTAAAACTGATTACACCATTATTTCGAAGAGCGGTTAAAAATTGATCAAAAAGTGATAACGTAATAATATGCAAACGCGAATGACCCTCAATATGTGTATCACGTCGTGACCCCCCATCGTTGTTTTACTATAGTTTCTACGATACAGGGGGAGCCACGCACTCGTGCGCGGCGGGTCATACAACGTATGACAAGTAAGATGATCATTCAAGAAAAATTCATTCAAAACAGTGAAATGTAGGTTGCAGAAAGCTGAAATTCGAATATGACCTACTGGTAGGACATATTCAAAATTTTCATTGCATCAAAGTTATCGGGATATACTGCTTCCAGTCATTTGATGGCGACTTGCATCACTCTTACCGACCTCACTGATTGGTCACTGTTCAAAATTTCAGTCAAAACCGCAATATTTCGGTCAAAGGGACGACTTTTACTTTTAAAAAGCTCCTCTTCAAAAATCTCTTTTTATATTCTGATGTATAGTATTAATATGATTTGTTAAAATATCTTTTGGCACAATAGTTCCAAACGAGCTCATGTTGTGACACATGCCTATGAGCTTCTCTTTGAGCAACAACTAAACATGGTACCTTAACATGTAATTGTACATGTATATTGTATTATGCAAATCTTACAACAGTTGTACCTACTTAATTCCTCTAGGTTTAGCATTCTTCATCTGCTAGATGAATGTTGCATTAAGGTCTGTTCGTGTTGTTGGGAAATATAGTAAAGCCTCAAAGATTTACCTTTCTTCTCTTAGAGCTATGTCTGACGAGGTTTCAAAAGCAAAGGATGCCAAGCCAGGAGGTTAGAAAATTTCAATATTTTATTTAGGTAATTTATAAATATTTCAACTATACAAGATGGAAAAGGTAGTTGATTGTCATTCGATGTTAACTGGATAAACCTGGTTTGATACCTTAATTATCACCCACACAATATCTAGTCCGTTGTAGCATGCTTTTGAAGAGCAACCAATACATTGTGACTTTTAGCATACTAAAGCCTTTTTATTTAGGTGATACAATATTTGGAAAGATAATTCGGAAGGAAATTCCTTCTGATATACTCTTTGAAGATGATAGCTGTTTAGCATTTCGTGATGTTAATCCACAAGCACCTGTTCACTTCCTTGTGATCCCAAAGAAACCTATAACAATGTTAAGCAAAGCTGAAGATGCTGATGCTCCTTTATTGGGTTAGATGAAAATAAAAATAATTTTGTTAAATAGGAGTTCAACTGTATATTGTATAAGTTAAGTGTTTGCCAAGATTTATTTCTTATCTATAGAAATCACTTTGTGATTGTATTATTGACTAAATATTTTTCAGGACATCTTTTGAATGTTGCAAGAAAATGTGCTGATCAAGAAAAGTTGGAAGAGGGATATCGTGTTGTTATCAATAATGGGGTACATGGTGCTCAGTCCGTGTATCATGTACATGTTCATGTTCTGGGAGGACGACAGTTGTCATGGCCTCCTGGTTAATAATGAAAATACTGGTTGATTCTTTTAACTGTATGCATTAAGTTTGCACTTTGCATTCATAGGGATTTCAAGTAGATCTATATTTTAATAAATGTTTCATCTATATCTTCGGATAATTTTCTTTTAAGGAAAAAATGTTTCTAGATCTTTTTTTGCTTAATTTATTGTCTTATATTATCATTATCAAGTTCATTACCTTGAGACATAGACATAATATTGTTTTATTTATCGTCTGAATGTATGAAAAACTGATATCAGAAACTTTAGCAATTTTATCTGAACCCAGTATTAGAATGTTCAGGATTCAGGCATTTTTAAAGCCCCCCCCAAGGGTGGACCACTGCAATTTCGTGCAACAAATACTGAACGGGGGAATTAAGTGCTATGTTGTGCAAATATGCTGAACGGGGATATAAGGTTGCTGTTCGCGCAAATATACTGAACAGCGATATAAGATTGCTGTTCGCGCAAATATACTGAACGGTGGTATAAGATTGCTGTTCGCGCAAATATACTGAACGGCGATATAAGATTGCTGTTCGCGCAAATATACTGAACGGTGGTATAAGATTGCTGTTCGCGCAAATATGTACTGAATGGGGTTATAAACTTATGATAGCTGTTTGTGGTTTGTGGGCAAAAATACTGAAAAGCAGTAATAAAAGCATATAATATATGTATATTATTACTGCTTTTCAGTATATTATAAATAAATAAATAAGGTTTTTTTGTTTTATTATTTGCAGTTTTGTTACGTGTTGAAAACAGAGCTCCCTTATCTCTGTTATATCGGCAATTTTTAACTGCCAGTTGCCCCTGCTACTGCACATTGTTGGTGCTGTGCCTTTAACGGTACTATACAAGTACTATACAAGTACAATTTATACACACTGGAAAAGCCCGCTGATATGAAAGGTGGTGAAAATCATTTGTTGGGACCAACGTCAGACGTCCAATTAGAGACTGTATCAGAAACTTCACAGACCTCTCAGGAAATTGTTACTACCCGACCTCAGGAAAGTGTTTCTTCAGATCTGTTGAACTATGCTATCATTTCTAATGGTCAGTGTTCATCGTGTTTGGATAGTAAAGCAGGAGATAAAGCGTTACCTTGCTGGGAATGCGATAGATTATTTCATGCTGTTTGTGTGAAGGAAGATGGTACTGAAAAAGATGGTAAAGACATAATCTGCCCATCTTCATTCTTTAACAGCTTTATTAAGGCTTCCAACAAAGATGGTGTGTTTGCTAGAAGGCATGGTAACTTTACATTTGTGTGTGATTTTTGTAAAGTTAACAAAGGAAAGAAAAAAGCTGCTAATAAATCAGATAAATTTACTCTTTTGGACCACAAAATTGATGCAGTCAACAATTCTTTATTGTTGGAGTTAAAAGAGCTAAAAACCATGATATCCCAAAACAAGAGTGCAGCTACACATCAAACTTCATCAATCTCTGAGTCTAACAACGAATATAATCCTTGGAATGATAAGCAGAGAACAGAAAACATGAAAAAAGTGGTTTCAGTACAAAAGGACAGTCAAGGTAAACTCATCAGTTCAAAAAAACTAGAAAAGATTTGTATTGAGAACGGCCTCTCAGTAAGTAGTACCTTCCACTTGCAGAAATCTGATACTACTGGAATTGTTCTCAATTCTCAACACGATGTTGATGTTCTGACTAAACAACTCAAAGATGAGCAGCATTCTGTTGTAAAAGTATCAACAAGAGTACCAACTGTCCACATTGTAGGATTATCAAGAGAATACACCGTGGAGGAACTAAAATCTATGCTTGAAAAACAAAATCCTGGGATATCAAAGCTTCTCGATAGTTCTTCTACTTCTAATGATGATAAAATTATCGAAATCTTGGCTGTTAAACCTCTCAAAAACAATAAAGACATCTTTAAGGCTATTGTAAAAGTCAGCAATGTTATTAGATCCATAATTGCTCAGCAAGGGAACAAGGTGTTTATTGGATACCAGTCTATGTGTAAAGTCTATGACAGTATCTTTGTTCTTAGATGTTTCAATTGCCAGGAGTATGGTCATTACAGCAAAGAATGTAAAAATAAAGCTGATCCAGTTTGTGGGTTTTGCTCTGAAAATCATGAATCACGAGATTGCTTAAAAAAGACTGATGATCATGTTTTCAAGTGTTGTCACTGTGTCAGAGCAAAAAACAATGATACTAATCATCACACTGGAGACCCCAGATGTTCTGTATTTGTGGAACATCAGAAAAGAATAAAGAAGACAATTCCTTTTTATCAAAGCAAATGATCAGATCCAATGAATCGTCAGATTTCAACCTCCTTCTCTTTAATCCTAGATCAATCAACAACAAAGCTGATCTTTTTGTGAGCCTTTTGGAGGACAAAAATATTGATATTGCTGCTGTTTGTGAGACGTGGCTGACTAGCAACTCATCCGTAACCACTGCTATTATTAAGGAACGAGGTTACTCACTCCACCATAATTATAGGCTTAACGAGAGGGGTGGTGGCACTGCACTCATATTTCGGTCATATTTAACGTGCTCTATGGAAAAGAGTAGGATAGTATTCAAACATTTCGAACTCACAATGGGAAAAGTTAAGACCAGCTCTAATAAGATTCTTTTTGTTGTAATGTACAGGACTGGCCCTTTAACCTCTGCTTTTACACAGGAACTTGACCTTCTTCTCTCTGATATTTCTACTCGCTGTGATAATATTGTCCTGGCCGGAGATCTCAACATACACTTAATGATGGTAACAACAGGGTTGCATCTGATACTCTAAAGATACTCAGATCATATGGTCTCCATGCTCTGTATGATCGTCCAACACACATTGGTGGTGCATGTCTAGATCAGTTATTTACTTTCTCGCTGAACAACCATCTTCATTGCAATAATGTGTTTATTGACAATAGCGATACACTAGGCTCAGATCACTTTCCTATAATCTGTAACATAAGCAACACTTTAGGAAAGAAATATTTCAAATCAATTGAATTCAGAGATATTAAAGCTGTAGACAAGGATACCTTTTCACGTGACCTTAATGATGTTCTTGATCAGTTTGATGTTTCAGAATCATTTGAGACTTCTGTAGTGAGTCTTGATGCCTCTATAGTGAACCTTCTTGATGTTTATGCTCCATTAATTAGCAAAAGAGTGTCAGTAGTGGATAAAGCTCCATGGTTTGATAAGGAATATAGAGATCTGAGAAAACTTCGTCGTCGAGCCGAGAAAAAGAAAAATAGATCTGAGGGACACTTTCTGCACTACAAAGAACTCTGTCATGAGGCTACTACACTAGCTTTGACTAAAAAGAAAGATTTCTTGGAAACTGTTATCAATAAGTCAGAGAATAAAACTCGAACTCTCTATCAAGTTGTCAATAAGGTAATGGATCGTAAACAAAGTAGAATTCTACCTGACTACACTGATAATATTGAACTACTTGCATCTGACTTCAACAAGTTCTTCTCTGAAAAGGTTGAAAAGATTCGTGATAACATACCTGCTACCTCTATACCAGATTGCAGTGATACTACTGTAACACCCCTCTTCGAATTTGAACCAACCTGCATCTCAGAACTTGAAGATATAATCAAGGAAAGTGGAATCAATTGTTCACCTAATGACTGTTTACCACAAGATCTTGTTAAGGATAATATCACTTCCCTATTGCATGTTTGGGTTGATCTTGTTAACCAATCGCTGTCCACCGGCAGTATGGATGGTGTTAAACTGGCTGACGTTATTCCCCTAGTGAAAGATGAGTCTCAGGATCCGAATATACTGAAAAACTACAGACCTGTCTCCAACCTTACATTCCTGGGAAAATTAATTGAGAGAGTAGTTTTGAGAAGACTTAACGAGCACCTTAGTCGAAATAATCTGAATTGTCAGGAACAATTTGCCTACAAGAAACACCACAGCACAGAAACTCTCTTGATAAAAATCGTTAATGATGTCCTTATTGCTGCAGATGAAAAAACAGCTACTGTTGTTATGCTGTTGGACCTCAGTGCAGCCTTTGATACTGTGGATCATAATTTACTTCTGAAGATCTTGAGGCAAGAAATAGGAATAAGGGGGTCAGCTCTGAGTTGGTTCACCAGCTTCCTAACAGGACGTTGTCAGCGTATCAGACTTGGTAAATCAGTCTCTGAAACCATAATTTTACGTTTTGGAGTACCTCAGGGCTCTGTGCTAGGCCCTGTACTTTTCAACATCTATATTAGATCATTGTACAGCTGTGTAAAAGAATCTGGGTTTTCTATTATTGGTTATGCAGACGATCATCAAATTATGAAATCTTTCAAACCCTCAGATCAGGTGAAAACCTTAACAAACCAACTGAGAAATTGTTTCTTGAGGATAAAGAATTGGATGTCTCAATATTATCTGCAATTAAATGACTCTAAAACTCAGCTTATAGTCTTTGGACCTAGAAAGGTACTAAATGAGATTGAACTTCATGGGGTTGAAATTGCTCCTAACACATTAGTTATGTTTGTCCCCACCGTTAAGAATCTAGGGTTGGTTATGGACAATCAACTAGTTTTTGATAAACAAATTATAAATCTCAAGAAGAAATGCTTTCATACCTTGCGCAATATCAGGAAAATCCGCTTCCTTTTGAATCTCAAACAGATTAAAGTCATCGTCAACAGTCTAGTGGTATCATGTCTAGATTATTGTAACGGTTTATATTTTGGTATTGGCGAGAAGCTTTTACATCAGCTTCAGTTACTACAAAATGCTGCTGCAAAAGCCGTTACTGGTAAATATAAGCATGACCACCTGGAAGACGACCTGACTAATCTTCACTGGCTGGATGTAAAGAAAAGGATTGTGTTCAAAATATTACTGTTGTCTCACAAATCATTATTATGGCTCGCTCCAACGTATATTCAAGACATGTTTCGGTACACTCATCATGGTCACACATTGAAACTTATGGTTCCATCGTTCAACTCTAAGTTTGGCGAGCGAAGCTTTTCAGTCGTGGCTCCAAAGATCTACAACCGTCTGCCTACTACCATCACATCAGCTGAATCCCTGGAATCTTTTAAAGCATTTCTAAAAACTTTCTTATTTAAACTGTCTCAGCATGAACTTGAAAAACTATATCAATGACTGATTTTGGCCTATATTTAGTGTTAGTTCTTTAGTTTTAAGTTTTACTCATATGAACGATATATTTTCAAGTATTTGATAGCAGTCCTAACTTTTATCATGATAGTTTCTGGGATGACTAGATTAAACACTGCTGAGTATAAGTTTATCTTAATAGTGGTGTTCTTAAACTTCAATTTATTATTATTGTGCAAACGTGCCAGATAGCAATTTCATACTGCACCTACAATACGATATTTAACCTACACTGCAGTACAGGGATATTGCGAGTGTACTACACTATTGCATTCTTATCAAGGCTAAATGTAAATCGTATATCTTTAATGTGACTTTCGTTTTTTAGACTTCCTATGATATTGTTTTCGTTCTTAAAATTACAGCCCAGAATCACTTCTTTATTCCCAGATAATTTATTGAAGTATTGACCTGATAATTTATTAATACTTTAATTCAATCATTCCCAGATTTCAAGTTTGGAAGTGAGCACATAGTTAGTGCGATATTATAGGCAGGTTTAAAGATGGGGTCTTGGTTCGTCCCAGCCCAACCGAGAACAAATGCCTGGTGTAAGTCCAATCCGAACCACATTTTTCACATTGTGGTGCTGGGTCAGTTGGTTGCTGAACGGGTTTGCCTGGAGAATGACATGGTCCTGTCATTCTCAAGTTCGCCATAGGCTTGGTAGGGGATCGGATGCGGTTCATATGGCTGGTTCTTCGACTGACACCCTCAGCCCCACTGAAGTGGGAGCACTGTCCTTCTCCTCCTCATCAATCCTCATCCTCAGTCCTCCTCATAGTCGTCCTCGTCCTCGTCCTGATCCTCGTCCTTAGTCCTCGTCCTCCTCCTCCTTAGTCCTCCCCTTCCTCCTCCTCCTCCTCCTCTTCCTCCTGAGTCCTCCTTTGGAGTCCTCCTCCTCCTCCTCCTCATCAGTCCTCCCCAGTCTTCCTTCTCCTCTTCCTCATCCTCAGTCCTCCTCGTCATCCTCCTCATCAGTGTTCTTCCTCCTCCTTATCCTCCTCATCAGTCCTCTTCCTGATCCTCCTCCTCAGTCCTCCCCCAGTCTTCCTTCTCCTCCTCCTCCTCCTCAGTCCTCCTCACTCCTCCCCTAGTCCTCCTCTTCATCAGTCCTCCTCCTCGTCCTTAGTTCTCGTCCTCATCCTCCTAGTCCTCGTCCTTAGTCCTCGTCCTCCTAGTCCTCTTTCTCGTCCTCCTTAGTCTTCCTCCTCAGTCCTTCTCAGTCTTCCCCAGTCTTCCTCAGTCCTCCTCCTCCTCCTCAGTCCTCAGTCCTCCTCCTCAGTCCTCTTGCTCCTCAGTCCCCAGTCCTCTTCTACTCGTCAGCCTTCTCCTCCTCCTCCTCTTCCTCCTGAGTCCTCCTCTGGAGTCCTCCTCCTCCTCCTCCTCATCAGTCCTCCTCCTCCTCATCAGTCCTCCTCCTCCTCTTCAGTCCTCCTCCTGAGTCCTCCTCCTCACCCTCTTCCACCTCCTCAGTCCTCCTTCTGAGTCATCCTCCTCCTGAGTCCTTCTTATCCTCCTCCTGAGTCCTCCTCCCCCAATCCTCCTCCTCAGCTCCTCCTCCTCCTCAGTCCTCAGTCCTCATCCTCATCCTCCTCCTCATTCTCCTCTTCCTTCTCCTCCTAATCAGTCCTCCTCCTCAGTCCTCCTCCTCAACAGTCCTCCTCCTCCTCCTCAGTCTCCTCCTCCTCAGTCCTCCCCTCCTTCTCCTACTCCTAAGTCCTCCTCCTCCTCCTTCTCCTCCTCATCAGTCCTCATCCTCAGTCCTTCTCAAAGTCGTCGTCCTCCTCCTCCTCGTCCTTAGTCCTCCTCCTCCTCTGGAGTCCTCCTCCTCATCAGTCCTCTTTCTCCTCTTCAGTCCTCTTCGTGAGTCTTCCTCCTCATCCTCCTCCACCTCGTGAGTCCTCCTCCTGATTAATCCTCCTCCTGAGTCCTCAGTCCTCCTCCTCAGTCATCTTGCTCCTCAGTCCCCAGTCCTCTTCTACTCGTCAGCCTTCTCCTCTTCCTCCTCTTCCTCCTGAGTCCTCCTCTGGAGTCCTCCTTCTCCTCCTCCTCATCAGTCCTCCTCCTCCTCATCAGTCCTCCTCCTCCTCTTCAGTCCTCCTCCTCAGTCCTCCTCTTCCTCAGTCCCAGTCCTCCTCCTACTCGTCAGTCCTTCTCCTCATCATCCTCATCCTCTTCCTCATCAGTCCTCCTCCTCCTCAGTCTCCTCCTCAGTTCTCCTCCTCCTTCTCCTACTCTTAAGTCTTCCTCCTCGTCAGTCCTCCTCCTCGTCAGTCTTTCTCCTCCTCCTCCTCCTCAGTCCTCCTCCTCCTCCTCATCCTCCTCAGTCCTCCATATCCTCCTCAGTCCCCTTCCTCAGTCCTCCTCCTCAGTCCTCCTCCTCAGTCCCCAGTCTTCCTCCTGCACGTCAGTCCTCCTCCTCATCCTCCTCATCCTCCTCATCCTCATCTTCCTCATCCTCCTCAGTCCTCCTCCTCATCCTCCTTGGAAGTTCAGACTGACAGCACGGGTAGAGATCAGAACTTTAGTCCCCCCCCCCCTAATATGCAATATGGTACAACATTAAATTAGATAGTTCTACCCTGTTAGATCATTGCTTTTCTCTGTTTGATAGTGTTTGTGGACCATAATCTCCATGTAAATACACTCAAATAAACATAAACGTACTGTGCAAGTAGTCAGATAATATCATTAAAGCACTCAGCATATATCAAACTTGATGAAATTGAAGTTAATTCTAGGGCCCCAAAAGGTCCTACACATATTTAAAATCCAAAAAGGGCCCTAGAAATCGGGGCTTTTTGGGGCCTTTTGGGGCCTTTTGGGGCCTTTTGGGGCCTTTTGGGGCGTTGCCCCCCCCCCCTAATTATGTCTTTATGTTACTGAACTTGTCACCAAATTACAATGCAATAACCTGCATAATATATTAAGTCATGTATTGTACTGATTTGATTACTGATTTAAAGTGATAAAATAATGTACTGAACAGGAATGGCCTCAGCTGATTACTGCTTTACTGCTAGCTATGCTAAGATCTCACACATTCGGAGATTCTGTAAGTTCACAAATTATATTCTTATATTAATTCGACTAAATACCTCTTATAATACTGTAGCTTTATAGTTCAACTTATACAAATAGTTCAGTTCTGTACGATCGTTCATTTGAGGCAATGGATGTAGTAATATTTGCGTGAACAGCAATCTTATACCACCGTTCAGTATATTTGCGCAAAAAGCAATCTTATGTCGCCGTTCAGTATATTTGCACGAACAGCAATCTTATATCGCCGTTCAGTACATATTTGCGCGAACAGCAATCTTATACCACCGTTCAGTATATTTGCGCGAACAGCAATCTTATATCGCCGTACAGTACATATTTGCGCGAACAGCAATCTTATACCACCGTTCAGTATATTTGCGCGAACAGCAATCTTATATCGCCGTTCAGTATATTTGCGCGAACAGCAATCTTATATCGCCGTTCAGTATATTTGCACGAACAGTATTCTTAGTGCTGTATTTTTTGCACGAACCTTGCAGTGGTCCACCCTTGGTGGGGGCCTTTTTAAAAGTCAAAATTACAATCGTGTATAGGATCATTCCTCTTAATATTTGTAATTGCAGCAGGAATGTAAATACATATTATGATCTGATGAGTCGTGTAGTACTGCTGCTTTTGCTTCTTGGAATAAGTTCTGGTCAAAAAGTCAAACCAAACATTGTAATCACTATTGGCAGTGGCGTCGGATGGGGAGACATTGGTGTAAATAACCCTTTCAACACCCTTACCCCAAAGATAAACAAGCTCGCTTCCACTGGAATAAGTTATTTGGACTACCATATCGGTGGAAATACTGCTAGCCCTAGCGTGGCAGCACTTCCCACGGGAAGACATGGACAGAGGAATGGTGTCCGGAAAGATTTCACTCCTCTCAGTGTAGGTGGTTTACCAAGTGATGAAAGAACTCTTGCTGATTATCTGAAGAGTGATGGATATGCTACAGGATTTATTGGTGTGTGGGATATGGGACACCAACCTCAGTTTTTACCCCTGTCCAGAGGGTTTGATTTCTTTTATGGCACACCATATGATCCAAGCCATGGCTGTGTGCATTTGAACGAATTATATGTCCCTTCTAATTGCAATTTCAACTTGACATGTTCATCTGAAAAAATTGGTGTTCCACTTATGGAAGGAAATAAGATTTTGGAACAACCTTTGAACATGGGAAACATGTCAGACGTAATGTTTTACGCCAAAGCAAAGAAATTTGTCCACCAAGCCCGCAAACAAAAGAAGCCTTTTTTACTGATAATATCCCTAATTACAATAAAACTACCAGTTTTCAGTGTGAACGAAAATATTCCTAAGAAAGATTATCTTTTAACCCAACTTGATGAATCTGTGGCTATGTCTCAAGAACTGCTCCGTTCCTATGGCATACATCACGACACCATATCCATCTTCACATCTAAAACAGGTCCCAGAGATGCAAACTGTGATTTTTCTGGTGATGTTGGTCCCTATGCTGGTTACTGGCAACGATTATCAAGTTCTCATGGTGCACCTACATTGGGATCAAATTGGGAGGGTGCAACAAGAGTTCCATTTGTTATCAGCTGGCCTCATGGGATATCCTCAGTTTACAGAAACACTAGGTTAACAAGTGCAGTAGACTTGGTACCAACACTGGCTGAAGTCATTGGCTTCAACTTGCTTGCTGATAGAACCTTTGATGGCATATCCATGGCCCAGGATTGGAGAAGGGAAAAGTCCGATGATAACACACAACGGATTCTTTGTTTTCTAGAATCTGATACTGATCAAGTCATGGTTTTCAGGAAAGACCAGTTAAAAGTTTACTTCAGAACGTCTGGTGCCAGAGAGTGTAACAGCACCCACGATCCTACCAAGGCCGATATCCAGCATCTGTACCCCCTTGTTTTTGATCTGACATGGGATCAGGGAGAATTGCACAACATGACATATGACAGCACTTTTGCAGCTTCACTTCTTCAATACAAGAGAGAAGGAGATGCTATGTTTTCACAAGATCCAGGATTGAAATCTGTAGCTGATTATTCTGAATCCGAGTCCGCTGTTATTTGCTGTAATGCACGATGTGAGTGCAGTTCTTATGCTTCACTTGCAGATCTTCGGTTCCTTATGTTTAATAAACTGGAATCCGACAATAATGATTGGATTGATGCTGATGATGTTGATGAAGATGTTAATAGCGCAGTCGTTCCTATTTATGGACTTGTCTTTATTTGTTTGGGGGTCATGTGTTTGGTTGTTTTTGTGATGTATAAATCGTATCTTGCCTTTTTTACCAATAAATCTAGTTATGAGCCCATAGAGGACAAATCAGAAATGTGGAGAAAGATTATCAGTAAATGAACTTGAAAATTGCAAATAAAGTTTTGAAATCAGGATTGGTACTGCTATGCAGGATTGCAGGATGTTGATTTATTATGTTACATGATAAGTGATAACACAGTCGCTCGGAAATTATTCCGTAGTCGCTGTCTTCTAACTTGCAAAGTTAGACAAGTAGATCTTGATTTTATTGTTAAAATCAAATCTAATTTAAAAATTAATAAACGTTTTATACTATTTTAAGGTTTTCATGTTTCATATGATGTATTATTTTTAGCATGAACTATCAGTTATTTATAGACGATCAATTATAGATTTTTAATTTAATTTTAGCAATTACAGAAATTATTTTTTATTTCAAAGATTCTAAAATGCAAGTAAGTAGCTGAAGTGGATCGTTAGTAAATCATTAAATAAAAATAAGATAATCGTATCGATATATTGCATTAATAAAACAAATCAGGAATCCAGTTGTAAGTTCATTGAAGACAAATCAGAAATGTGAAAAATGATTACCAGTAGCTATTGATTTTATTGCTATAATCACATTTAATTCAAAAATTAATAAATGTTTTATACTATTTAAAGGTTTTTATTTTTATATGATGTATTATTTTTAGCATGAACTATTAGTTATTCATAGACGATCAATTATAGATTTTAATTAAATTTTAACAATGATAGAAATTATTTTTATAAAGGTTTTATAAAGTAGGTCGTTAGTAAATTATTACATAAAAATATTGCTATATTATTGCATTAATAAAACAGACCGGTTGTATTTATATTGTAAGCTACCACTTTAAAATGATAGCAGAACTAACAAAATTAGAAAAAATCTTGAAATTATTTTGAACATTCATAAATTTACTGTTTACTTACAAACCAAATTTCTAGTTTGACATTTTATTTAATTAATCAAAAAATTACAATCACTTATAATAAAATGCAGCACTGATAAGGATGAGCGACTATGGTTGATTTAGAAGCTGTACAAGCGTTTGGGGAAGCTCTCAAGAAGAACCTCCAGTGTCCGATCTGTTTAAGTCTTCTCAAGAATCCAACTTCAGGTGGGTACTAATTAGGTAATTAGGTAATTATGTAATAAGGTAATTATGTAATTAGGTAATCATGTAATCATAGTGTGCAACTTTCTGTGTTGTACACAACTGGTTGAAATTGTATACATGGTTATTTGAAATCTAAACTAAATCCGCCAGCAGTAAGTCTGCTGATTGTAACAAATTTTGTGCTGTTTTCGATGTTAAGTATTAAATACAACTGCAGTTGTGATAGTAGCAGTGCTGTTATTTTCACTAATCAACAATTCAGTGTGATAAGTAACTACAAGGTTGTTATATTTAATTAATTATCGTTAATAATAATCTTTATCAGTTACTACAAAGTAGTTATATTTAATTAATTAATCTGAACTACCAGGAGATTGTCTGCACAAGTTTTGTAAGGTCTGCATAGACCAGCAGATTGTCATCAGAAAGAAACCAAAATGCCCTATCTGCAACAAACCCATATCACGAAGGTAATACCATGTCTCACTAATCACGAAATTAAGAGCAGTGTAATTAGTCTGCTTAAATGTGTATCTATAATTAATTTATACTGGTTTATGATGGCCATTAGCCAATAAGTAATTGTCGATATGCTGCCAACTTGGAAATTTCAACCAATTTAAAATATCCTATTTAGGTCTCTAAGAGAAACGAGTGAGCTGACATCAGTGTTACGAGGAGTAGAGAGTATATTAACCACTATAAACTCTGAAGGGGCTGAGAGTGGTTCAGAGGAACCTATTATTCCATTCTCCCAATTCGAATTAACGTTGGTTATTTTCTTGTCATCAAAGTTCTCTTTTTATTACCTGATAGCACCTAATAAATTACTAAATCAGTGTTCAGATCACGATTTTGCCATTTGTTTGACCTGTACTTCACAATATCTAAATTCTAAAACCCCACTCCCCCAGAACCTGTAAAAGCCCAGAAAAAGTCACAGCAAAGGTTCTTCAAAAAGCACTATTAACAACACCTTTATCTGTGAACTCCGCAAGCAATCAGCCACCATCCTCCACTATTACTCCAGCAGTGAGGAGTAAACCTGGTATGGTTGCTAATACCCCAGCACGGAAGTGGAATGTAGCGGACACTTCCTCTTCTTCTTCTAGGAAAAGAAAGAAAACTGCTGAGACGGAGTCCCACAAAGGTTTGTTGCTTTTAACTCGCAACACATTCACTCCTGAGTAAAGGGGGTAAACTGTTTGATCTCTGTCGACAATTACTGATTGATTTCTTGATCAAAAGTTGAGAAACTGTAGTTAAAACTGATTAAAACTATCTAAGCTTACTATATCAGGAGCACTAGAGAAGAATAGAATGCTACTTGAAACTATAGAAAAAGGAAATTTGGGAGAGAAAAGTAAGTTAAAGAAGTGTAGTCGGAAAGCAGTGGACATAACGAAAATGGAATCTGAAGGTGATGTGCTTAGTAAGGAAGCTACAACTACAACTCCACCGACCATTAAACATAACACAGACAAAAACAAAGAGAACCTTGTTAAAATTTCCGTAAGTAATCCTAAAAATGTAAAAATCATTTTCATAGAACAACTTACGGTCTTCGGGGCCGGGGATTTCTTTTAAGATTTTGAAATATTGCTTACAGTTTTCCATATTATAGAACAACAAATTTGAGATCAAATTCATTGCATCAGTATCAATAAGGTATCGTTAATTCGTGGTTTCATGTTTTTGACCTTTCAGTTACCAGCTCCTTCTTCCTCGGACAAGAAATCACTTCTGAACAGTGAGGAATCAGTTGCTGCAAAGAGTAGGGCACTACAGAGACTGATGAAGAATGTTAGGAATGTAGAGGTTAGTCGATTAGAGGTTAGGAGGTTAGGAGGTTAGGAGGTTAGGAGGTTAGGAGGTTAGGAGGTTGGGAGGTTAGGAGGTTTGGAGGTTGGGAGGTTAGGAGGGTAGGAGGTTAGGGGGTTTGGAGGTTAGGAGGTTAGGAGGTTAGGAGGTTAGGAGGTTAGGAGGTTAGGAGGTCAGTCGATTAGAGGGTAGAGGTAAGAGGTAAGAGGTAAGAGGTAAGAGGTAAGAGGTAAGAGGTAAGAGGTTAGAGGTTAGAGGTTAGAGGTTAGTGATCAGTCGCCTTTAATACTAGAGCACTAGAGCAGTGAGTTAAATTACAAGGTGCCACTACAAAGGCCTTTATGTTATTATTTTATTTAAGGATTTACTCAGAATGAACTTTTGCTAATGAACTTGTCTGATAACTCATATTTGTCCTCAGCAGAGTGGGAGAGTTTCCAACACCTCCCTGAACTCCACTTCGTACCAATCCCCTAAACCAACCTCTTCTGTTGGTAAGAAAGTGTCCCCTTTCGTGGTGAAAACTATCAACAAGAGTACCCCCTCCCCAGACATCACCATCACCAACAAACCAGTACTGTCCAGCAAACCTGGTAAGGCAGTTGAGTCAGATGAGGACGACTCTCTGGATATAGGGGTCAAGAAAAATAAAAACAAGAAGACAGAAATCAAGATATTGTCTTCGGAGGAAGATGAGAGTTCCTCTCCTACAACCTCATCTCATAGTAGTGAGTCGAGAAGGAAGTCTCTGAGAAGGAAAGTGGTAAAACCTCCCATTATTGATGATGAAGATAGCATAGCATTTCAGATACCTCCTAGGGATGAATCTGAACCCAACACTATTGATGTTCTGGAGATTTCATTTGGTCTAAGGGGTCCATCAGAGGTTTTTAAAGATTCGATCTCGATAAGTAACGCTAAAACAAAATCTAAACCATCAAAGAAAATCGATGTTATAAAGATAGGTCAGGATGCTCGACAAAATGCCGTGAAATCCATCTCTGAAATTACAAATGATTTAGATGCTTCTGGAGAAAGTGTAGAAATGATTGACAATCTCCCTGCTCCCCCTGAAATGAATCAAGATGATGATCTTCCTTCTTGTGGATTTGAATCAGAGTTAAGCATGACGTTCACAAATGAACAGTTCAAGGTAGCAGAAGTAAAGAAAATGGTTAAAGAATTGCCAAAACCCGATCTTTCAAATGTTCAACCGCAAAACGAGGCCAAGTCTCTGAGAAAATCAGCACTTTCGCGACGAAAGGCTGACGATTTAAAGGTTTTGGAAACACCCAACCTCCAAACTTTAGCACACTCAGAGCCACCCTCAGCCCCAGTTACACCCTTATTTTGTGAAGCCATAAAATCAAGCAACACTGTATTGGAAACCCCCATGATCCCTAAGAGAGAAGCAATGGTGTTGGAGACTCCTGTTGTAAGTATGAAGCCGAAGGAGACTAAGAAACGAAGTATTGAGTATGATCCCAAGGACAATGATAAACCCAAACTTCTGCTGAAAAGAGGGCCAGACATGATATCGGTAAAGACCATGATCGAAAATCTCCTTTAACAGAACATAAAAGAGAGGCCAATAAGGATCTTCAAAATGAGGCTAAACGAGATAAATCTAAAATGAAGGACTTCATCAGCAAAGTCTCAACAACACCAATTTCCAAAAGAAATGACCACTGTACCCCTGTATCTCGAAAAAACGCTGTTGTCGAAAAGTTTACACAAACCCCAACAAAGATAAAACCAGCCCCAAACTGACAATCGACAAGGATGGCAACAAGACCAACTACACAATTGAAAACATAACTGGAGGAGGAACATGTGCTGGTGGGGGAGGGGGTACAGCCTCAAAACTTACAATCATCCAGGAGGGACCAGGTATCATGTCCCCCAAACTAATGAAACACATTTACGAGGATGTCCTCCACTCTGACCCTAACAGTTGTGAAGATCTCATTAACTCTCTCACTGCTGATCGTCAAAATTCTTTGAACAGTGTGCCAGTGCCAGACAAGTCCGCATCAACAGAATCACGTTATATTGAAGTGGATCATCAAGCTCTCATATTCGGAGACTCTGTGGAAACCACTGCTACAGATAATCCCAACCAGCCTGCACAACAAATACAGCCTAATAGTGACAACGCACCTGATAGTTTGGAGGGATTTACCTACAACAATCCTCAGTTCAACGAAAAAGAGTTCAAGAAAACATTCGGGATCCTCAACGAATCATATTCGCTGGCTACTGATAGCAATGTGATGGTGTTCGAAGAAAACACGAATGTCTGCGACGAAGTGAAGCTATCCCAACTCAGCCAACAGCGTGAACGCATGATTCAAGATTCTCAACCAAAGATTGTGAAAGAATCCCCCCAAACATCACAGAGCTCACAGCCCCACGATCCGCTGAATGAAGCCCAAGTTTTTGACACAGTACCATATAAGGACATGACAACTCTGGAAGATGGTGGCACTACAGTTGGGGAGTTAGTGGGAGATCTGGAGACTAAGTTACATCACCCCCTCTCCTCGTCTACTCAGCAAACTAAGGTTTGGCTAAAATATTGTCACATTTATCTTTATCTCGGTGGTTTCAGCATTTCTTTGCGTGTTAAAGTTAAAACTACCTTCTGAATTAAACTTTTATAATTTGTGAACGAACGTCCCTGAAGAATATTGAATGTTTTATCTAAATCTATTTTAAAATCTAAACCTCAACTTCTACCCCGCCAGGACACCTTGTCTCCGAGGACCCCAAACCGGACTCTGATCTCAAGTAGTGGTCAGTCGTACACCAGCCAAGAGTTTGCGGTGATGAGGCAGCAGCTGAAGGAAAATCAAGCTGAACTTCTTAGATTGCAGGAGATCGAACAAGCTGGTATGTGAGATAGAGTGTTTGTTGCTGGTATGTGAGATAGAGTGTTTGTTAGTTGCTGTTTTATTGGTACGTTTTTAAGAGATAAGGTTGGAGCAAATGAGGGTGTAAGAGGAATGTTGTAACATGTACATACATGTTGTATTCGGGTGGGGCCTGGGGGATCGGAGTCGTTTGTCAGAAAGACGTATCATTTTCTACTAAATACCCTTTTTATCATCACAATAAAGTCATGTTTCGTTTACCATGACGTTATTGTTATGAAAAAAAAAGGTGCTTTATTGCAAATTATGCATCTTTGATCGGTTTGATAGTTTTCCATTTTTGGTAACCCATCCTGTGAACAGGTGCTGCTGTCGCTGATACCTTACAACCGGAACTTATCGTTAAACCTGTGCCTGCTGAATCTAGTTGCGAGAAAATCAACGAAACCATTGTCGAACAAGGTTTAAGAATTATCTGATTTAATTGTGTGACCTTATTTTTCTTGAATTTACATTAAAAGATTTAGAGTTATTTTTATTTTCCGTGCTAAAGGGCTGTAAATTGAAATCAATGATTACTTACACCTCATTGGATGTGAAAGGAAAAAATAGGCACAAGAAAAATTCTCAATTCATTTTAAATGCGATTGTTTTCTCTAATTAAAACTCATTCCCAAATTTCCTCAGAGAGCTTCAGCCAGTGTGAGCTGTTTGAAGATCTAGTCAGCGCTAGTAACGACATCACAATCTGCGAGGTGGAGGAACCCACTTCAACCTCAGATAAAACTGTCATCTACTGTGGTGGAGAACAGAAGAGAAGCTGTAAAAGCAGAGATGTGGCAGAGCCAAGAAGTCAGACACTCTCCCAGAGGGGAGGGGGTAGATTGGAGATAAACACTGCTGAACTGATAGCACTGAATGAGGCTGCTATTGAAGGTGCAAAGATTCGTCCTCCTCCTCCAGTAATGTCTCTGGGGATTATCCAGGATAGTGAGGTGATGACGTCTGCAGATATTATCTCAAACACAGATTCTGTTCCAACACAGATAGAGGGCGTTTCTGGTGGTAGAGAAGAATGTGGTGATCAGCTGAAAGTCTCATCACTACACACACCTGAGAATAAGAAAGTGGAACTACTTAATCCTGAACAGTCTAATACTAAGAAGGCTGTTATAAGCGGGATTGTTAAAGAAGTGCCGTCACTGAAGGATAATATCTCAGAAGTGGAGAGGAGATCAGGAGAGACAGCTGTGAAGCAGTTTTACATTCCTAACATTCCTAGACCTGATATTAGTAACTCGGACTCTCTTGATTCTAACTATGTGCCTCCATCCCAGGTTCTACTCTCAATCTTAACTTTCTTTGTGTTTGCATTTCGTCAATTCTTTAATTTGTGTTTGCATGTCATCAATTCCTCTAATTTTTGCAAATAGGATTGATGCCGCATTGATAAATTAAGCATAAAAAATGACCCAACTTGATTTCAGCATTTTAAAACCTTTCCCCCCGAATAAATAAAATTTCATTTGCGAACAATCTCACTATTTAGTAATTTGTTTCCTAAGCCTTCATGCTGGTTACCCCAGGAGAGATCCCCAGTGATAGTGAGCAGGCGACCTAGCCTAACAGTTACCCCGGTTAAGATAGTAAACATACTGCTCTCTGGTATGTTGGGGAAGAGCGGATCTAAAGAGGCTTTTCAGCTCAGAAAATCTATTAGGTGAGAGCCTGGAGAGGGTGAGAGGGCCCAACTCTCGAGTTTTTTATTGAGAACTTTTATTTTGCAGCTTTTGTGCACTTTTTTGTCAAATATTTTGATAGAGTAACCAATGAAATTACTTAGTAACCAATAAAGTTGATTAGTTACCAATCAAGTTACTTAGTAACCAAATTGTGCTGTTTCAGAGGGAGTTGTCACGTAAAATTCAGAGTGTTGACTCAGTACACAGACGCTGTTACACATCTCATCTTCCCTCATAGTACGTGTTTTAAAATACTCAGTGAATAGTTTCCTACCATACCCTTTACAATGAATTGGAGATTACAGAATGCACTGCCCCGCCGCGCTGCCCGGCACTTAGAATTCTTTCCTACCTGTATTAAAACTGAGCCTTCGTATGTGGATGATACCAACTGTCAAATCGAAAACTGACAATAACAGATATTTTCAACAGTTATTAATTACCTGACCTCCCCCCCTCCATATTATTAAATACCTGACCCCCCCCCTCTCCTCTCCTCAGACGACAGCATGACGTGCCCCAGGACAGCTAAATACTTCAGAGGGATAGCTGGAGGAAAGTGGATCCTGTCCAATCAGTGGCTAATTCAGTCTTATCAGTCTAAAGAGCTTCTCCACGAGGTAACTACTAATTAGATTGTAGAACTGGATACTGGTGGAGAGGTGAACCGTGCGTTTTCTAACACGTGACAACGATTAACCAATCAACTTTTGACTACCTGTTCATATTGTTCGTTTGTTTGTTCATAAGTTTATCCAGGCTCCACCCGTTGTTCCTTTGTTTGTTCTATTCTCCACATTCCACACTATCACCTCCAGGCTCCTTATGAGATGCAGGGAGATACTGAAAGTGGTCGGACCTGCGCACCAAGATCAGCAAGAATAGCTAGAGTCCTCAAGGTTGGAATTATTTATTCAATTTCAGGGTGTTCAGTAATCTGCATATTTAATTTGATATGATTATCGACGGCCATTTTAAAGTTACTTTTAAGTTTTATTAGATATAATCTCTTAGGAAAATAGCTAGACTTTGTCCATGTTCAGCTTTTAACCAAAATCAATAAATTTCATCTTTTATCCTACTACTCGCTTATCAACAGTATATTTATTACTATTATTAATATATTTATTACTCGCTACAATAACCCCTCTCCCCAGCACCCGCCCCTATTTGCGAACACAAGTGTGTTCTACGTGGGTGACATCAGAATCTTACCACGTGACCACTTCTCGTCTTTACTGGAGGCAGTGGGGGTCACTATTGTTCACTCCCCTGATAGTGGTAGGTCACTATTGTTCACTCCCCTGATAGTGGTTTGTTTTTTACAGCTCGGTTTTATTTAACGAATTCTTGCTAACATTTATTTTTGGGCATCTACAGTTTCCTATCCCCCTTTAGCTTTAGGGAAAACGTCATAGTCGACCGGATTTTCCACGAAAAGGAGACGGATTACTTGGAAAATATATCGTTATGGTTATCATTCTTTACATATTTTTTATTTACATAATATTCTTCAGGATATATAATCTCTGGATTGTACCAAACATAAATAATTGTGGCATTGTTGGGGCATTGTCGTAACACATATTATTTTAACATGTTTTAAACAATTCCATTACAAAATAAAGCTTCATGAACATAAAATACCATTCATTTAAACCATCGGGTAAAAGGATGATTATTATTACATGTATTATAATTGGGAAAAAATTCAGAATTTAAGAATGTTTGCACACGACTATCATAAGATCGTTTATTAATAGATTTTTTAATGTATCAAATCTTATTGTTTTGATGTATACTTTCTTAATATGAAGTTAACTACCGGGTCCCGGCATAAAAGGTTTTGGTGTATGTCCCCTTAATTGTTAAACCGCTCATTTCATCTCACATTATATCTTGATTATAATTCTTGTTTCAGGATCGAGTATCTCCCAGTTGACCTACAAGACACAGACTAAAGTGTCCCCTTTGATAGACTCAGATGTTACTGATATCAACACAGTACGTTAACATGTGATTAACACGTGATTAACATGTGATTAACACGTGATTTAACACGTGATTAACACGTGATTTAACACGTGATTAACACGTGATTTAACACGTGATTAACACGTGATTTAACACGTGATTAACACGTGATTAACACGTGTTTCAGAGTGTTTACACGTGTTCTAAATGTTTGAAAAGTTTACTAAAATGAATATCAAAGTACAAGAAGTTCTCATTTTCTACTTTTTCAAAATAACGGAGTAGTTCGCTGTTTATTAGTCTCATGATTGAAATACTGATATCTGGATATTATCCGGTTGGAAGAGACAAGGACAAGTGAAACAAGGAAGTTAGGAGTAAGGGCAAATTTTCGGCGTCAACGCCATCTTCAGGCTAAAATTGTTATAAATGTTAGTATATAATAAATGCTTCTATACTAGTTAAAATGCTAAATTGAAATTACACACACTGAATACAGGTTACATCAAATGGTATCATTTGATGTAACCTGTATTCAGTGTGTGTAATTTTAATTTAGCATTTTAACTAGTATAGAAGCATTTATTATATACTAACATTTATAACAATTTTAGCCTGAAGATGGCGTTGACGCCGAAAATTTGCCCTTACTCCTAACTTCCTTGTTTCACTTGTCCTTGTCTCTTCCAACCGGATAATATCCAGATATCAGTATTTCTACTTTTTCAGTTGAAAGAAGTTTCAGGGCTAGCGCCAATAACTGCACAGTGGATTGTTGAGTGTATTGCTGCCTACAAAGTCCTACCGCCTGAGGATCTTGTCTGATATTATCTGTGGTACAGTGGCGTAACGGTTCCTATTGGCGCCCCCCCCCCCCCCGCTGAAAAAGCGCCCCTTCGTTACGCCACTGCTGTGGTATACAGATACGATGTGCTAAAATGTGGGGTGAAAATATTTATATTTTACATACCAGAAATTTGTGTTGTTATTTTGAAATTTCATTGATTGTCCATAGACTTTTGTCTACTGATTTTATTTCAAAGTTGATATAGATATTGTTAGGTTCAGCCATTCGTGCGACCCTCTGTAAGCTGAATTTTGTTTTTAATCAGACAATTTAACAGAAATTTGACAGAAATATTAAATGTGACCCTCTGTTAAGTGTTCCAAAACTTCAAAAATGGAAAATTCTTGTTCTAAGAATCTAACTGGTTCAAGTTAATGAAATTGTTTAATTTTTAATAGCATGGCTTAGATATACATAGTTTAAATCGATGATCATTCATGGTTAGAATTAACGTTTTTAATTTACGTTTCCGGTGAAAAAAATTATACTTACAGATTTTTAATTTGTACGTGTGAATCTGTTTCTCAATTGATTTTTAACAATAAGATATCGAAATTGTTAATTCCTTTTTAAATTGTAATTTCTAATTTTTAATTTATTTCTTACAAACAATGTTTCGTGTACACTATTCTATAACTTCTGGTAACAATTAAAATTTGTTAAAATTCTTCAATTCCACGATTACTGCCATCCTTACAAATTTCGCCTAAAAAAGTCGAAAAATGTGTGCATATAATTATGTATGCAAAGTATTTGATTCTAATAATACTAAAACCACTATAGTTGTTGGATGTTGCAAGTGTCTTAAACTGGCTGAAACTGTACTGTAAGAGAATGTCCATTACAATATACCAACAAAGTAAAGCTTTTGTATACTTGTCAAAGTACCATCTCACTCGCTTCATCGTAGGATCAGGTAAATAATAAGGAATAACTTGATTCGTTAATTGTAGGTTAATTAGTGGGTTTATTAATGACGAGTGGATTCAGTGATGCACAACACAAAACATGACAATCTGTGTTTCATTAGTTTTAACCACAAAACAGTAAACACTTCAGCTGGAACAAACTCTCTCAGGGGTTTGCGTGACAGCGTATGTAGCTGGCAGAAAACTATGTAAAAGAACTGACTCTCCACGACATGTGGCCTATGGTCGGATAAGTAAACACTATGGCAAGATGTGTGGAGCTCTGTTGTGGGGACACATGTTGGTAACTTGTGGTGGGGCTATGGTATTGGCTAAAGCTAAGAATCTCCCTCGAGCTGTCATGTTACAGAGAGGTAGGATTTCGTAACTTATGGTTTTTTTCTCTTAGTAACGACAAAGTCGAGTTCAAATTACCAACTTCCTGTTGATATTGGATTAAACATGCAAAAGGGTCTTCTCGCGAAAAGGCATGTAAGGCGCGATTGAACGGCGTAGAAAACAGTAGCGCAAAATTGGACAATTTTTCGATCACGCGCGTACTTTTAAATTTAATTTTCAGCTCGACCGACCATGAACCGAAAAGTGGAATTGACCAAGGTTACCAGCCGGGACAGATCCGGGGCAGTGGGACCTCCAATTCTATTATATCCCCTTTTACCTGACAGGGTTTAACAGAACCGCGAGGCTGGCACAAAGAGAATGCAGTTATAAACCATCTTGCTCCCCCGGCCCATGCAGCCCACTGTGACCTAAAGCACGACGTGTTGCTTGGGTCTCTTAAAATCATTAAACATGGTCGTTGAAATCGGAAATCAACTTAGAGCATTAGCTGCTCATTTTTGTAGCCGCCCTACTCTGTGGTTGACAAGAACAGCGAAACACGTGTTATGCTCCGATTTAAGTTAGCAAGTTCGTCGTAGAGTTCACAAATGGAGAGGAAGGAGAAACCTCTCTCCAATCCGTGACTGCCTCCTCCATTATTGCAAAATAAGTTAAAAACACCCAGGTTTTGTGTACGGAGAAAGACTGGGTTTCAGTACAATGTGCGTGTACGTCCCCACGCGTGAGCTGTCGTCACGTGAGTGGTTTGCTCAACTTGCTACAGGAGCTTACAGTGGCCTGAAGTACAGTCTCATGCAGGGTCACAGAGGCTGGATAGCTTATCATTCGACCAGATTAGGTGAGTCCGACTTTTCGAAGTAACCACCTCTCATTTTCATAATCAACGATAAAGTTGAGTCTGTTTTATGATGAATTTGGTGTGTACAAAACAGCCGATTAATGTCTTAACTTTTGATCCACACTTAAACTTCTTTAACATTAACATAACTTTTTTTCAGGGTTTTACGGTGGCCTAACATGTTTTGTTATCTACTCATTGGCCATGTGTTTAAACGAACTGTGGCACATCTTCATTGATCCTGAGCTCACATACAGTGCTTGGGACGATTTTGATCTTGAGGAGTACTTCTTTCACAGGATTAAACACTTTGTGAGTTTTTGTTGTGTTTTATTACAGTAAAGCCCCGTTTTAACGCGGAATTTTGGAGGAAAGGGAAAAGGCTCTGAAAATAGGGGTTATGATTGTTAATCTACATTTATGTGGGTTATGTGTATTGTGTATTCCTAATTTGGGGGAAGGAAATGGCTGGGTCCGGGGTTTGCGGTAAATTAAGTTTTTACTGCATATTATATATTACTTGATAAGGTGACATCCTCTGCTTTTTTTTACTTTGTGATATTATATAGGCTTTGATTAATGGACCTCTATGTCTTATCTTCAGTTTAACGTACAAAAATGGAGCGCTTATTTTGAAAGGACTGAGGTTGAGGATTTGATAAAAGTTGCAAGAACTGAAATGGAGGAATTAGAGGATCTTATGGAGATGGCTGGTCTTGGACGTGAAGGTTCGTTTTAGGAAAATTACTCTGATGATATTTTTAACTCTTTGATCTTACTGTCCATTACCTGGGGACCTTAGGCTTTTTCTGTTCATAAACAGATTGAATATGCGGTGGAATAACTGGCACCATCCAGTAAACTGTCTATTCTTATAAATGTGTCAACTGTTTAACAGAATTCTTTGATAAATACCGGATCTAACTGGTATTTTACCTCAGATCTGGAGCATGTTAAGCTGGGTGAAGTGAGTAACACAATGTTTAGTATTCTGGACAAAGTGACCACTGGGCGAAGAGAATATGATAAGGAAGAGGCAACAACTTCAACCATGCTGGAGACAAGGTAACTAATATACTGAGACTATTTTGGAGACAAGGTAACTTTAATACTGAGACCATACTGGAGACAAGGTAACTTTAATACTGAGACCATGCTCGAGACAGTGTAACTTAAATACTGAGACCATGTTTGAGACAAGGTAACTAATACTGAGACCATGCTGGGGACAAGGTAACTTGAATACTGAGACCATGCTGGGGACAAGGTAACTTGAATACTGAGACCATGCTGGAGACAAGATAACTTGAATACTGAGACCATGCTTGAGACAAGGTAACTTTAATACTTAGACCATTTTTGAGACAAGATAACTTGAATACTGAGACCATGTTTGAGACAAGGTAACTCAAATACTTAGACCATTTTTGAGACAAGATAACTTGAATACTGAGACCATGCTTGAGACAAGGTAACTTTAATACTTAGACCATGTTTGAGACAAGGTAACTTAAATACTGAGACCATGCTTGAGACAAGGTAACTTTAATACTGAGACCATGTTGGATACAAGGTAACTAATACTGAGACTATGCTTGAGACAAGGTAACTTGAATACTGAGACCATGTTTGAGACAAGGTAACTCAAATACTTAGACCATTTTTGAGACAAGATAACTTGAATACTGAGACCATGCTTGAGACAAGGTAACTTAAATACTGAGACCATGTTGGATACAAGGTAACTTAAATACTGAGGCCATGTTGGATACAAGGTAACTTAAATACTGAGACCATGTTACTAGATGGTTTTTTAGCTTAGTTAAATCTAGGTATTGCAAAATAAAATCGATGGATAAGATAAAAAACTTTCTTTTAAGAAAATTTAATCGTAATTTCATTAAATTTATATTTCACAGTTGTAATCAAATTCAATCAACACACTCAAAACAAATAGTACACTCAAAAGAGTCATCACATTTGTCTCTGAACCTTGTCCTGCCGTCACATTTGTATATTCGACTGCTTCTGATCTCCCCTTTGACAATTCTTCGAAGTTCACTGTCATGTTCACTTCAACCATTTTTTCTGCCTTTGCTATAGCATCTGACATTTCAAAACCATCTGCATCTTCTTAAGTCTTACTGACTTCCTTTCATCCTTTGCTTTCGACTCTGCATCTATCAGTGCATTCAAAAGATGAAATGAAATGAAATAATGTGCTTATATCCCGCTCATATGGTTAGCAGCCGGCACAAGTGCCAGCCACTAACCATGTCAGAACGGCTCTAAAGGGTGAGTGAAAAAGACTAGCATGAAAATGAATATGACAATGTCGTAGATAATTTAAATTAGTATAGGATCGTGTCCTCACAACAAATAATACCACTTCTGATATAATAGCGTCTATTCAAATCGTCCTTTACCTTCTGTTTCATTTCCAATACCAGCAGATGGTGTTTGGTTTGCTGCTCAGGTGACCGATCCGGAGAAATGAAAACTGTTTTGTGGTTCTGACTCAGTTTAAGTTTCTTCGATTTCAATAATATCTCGTGGACATTGATGGAGGCAGAATGTGCACTGTGCATATTCTGCCTCAATCTTTTCCTTTGCTTCCACTGTCGCTTTGACATTCACCTCAGCTCTCCCTGCAGTATTTTTGTATACCTCTATCACTGTCTCTGACTCAATTCCCATCATCGCTTTTTTCTTAGCTTTTTCCTCTTTCTTGGCATCTCCTTCTGTATTTATCTTTGTTTCCAAACATTCTCTTACTATTGTCTTAACATCTGTATCAGCTTCTGTGTCTAGCGTTTTCTCCAAATTTGCTGTTGTATCTGCGTTAGCTGCTGTGTCAATCTTCTCAGCTGCATCTGCTTTTGCCTCTGTTCCTGTCTCTGAACCTTGTCCTGCCGTCATATTTGTATATTCGACTGCTTCTGATCTCCCCTTTGACAATTCTTCGAAGTTCAATGTCATGTTCACTTCAACCATTGTTTCTGCCTTTGCTATAGCATCTGACATTTCAAAATCATCTGCATCTTCTTCAGTCTTACTGTCTTCCTTTGCTTTCGACTCTGCATCTATCAGCGCATTCAAAAGATGGAGGCAGAATATGCACTGTGCATATTCTGCCTCAATCTTTTCCTTTGCTTCCACTGTCGCTTTGACATTCACCTCAGCTCTCCCTGCAGTATTTTTGTATGCCTCTATCACTGTCTCTGACTCAATTCTCATCATCGCTTCTTCCCTAGCTTTTTTCTCTTTCTTGGCATCTCCTTCTGTATTTATCTTTGTCTCCAAACATTCTCTCACCATTGTCCTAACATCTGTCTCAGCTTTTGTGTCTAGAGTTTTCTCCACATTTGCCGTTGTATCTGCTTTAGATGCTTCGTCAATCTTCTCAGCTGCATCTGTCTTTTCCTCTGCTTTCGCATTTGATTCTGCATGCAAGTTCACGTCTGCTTCAGTCTCCGCCAAGGCTACAGCGCTTGCTTTATCCTCTGACCCTACCTCTGCATTAGCCTCCCTTTCCATCTGTGACACAGGTTTGTATTCTACTTTATCTAGTTGAACAAGTTCCTCGTGCGTATTTTCATTGTTTGGTCTATGAAATGACCGCATTGTGAAACTGAAGCATCTCTGCAGTAACTTGTAATGGTTAACTCTGTAGGTATCTCTAGTATAGATCCAGTGTGCTAATGGGATAAATGCGTTGGAGAGGTAAGGTACATTTTTTGAAATCCTATACAGTATTGCAAATCCTTCAGAATTTACTGCATTTTCACTAAGTGCCATTCTCATGATCTGATAAACAAGTGTAAGAGGAACAAAAGAAGTAAAAAGAATACTAAAGTTCATCGCAATACGCCAGGTTTTTTTCGTGGAGGTGGCCTTCGTTTTTGCTATTACATTGCTTCTTCGTATTTTCATTATAACATAGCCATACGCAACCAAGAAAAGAGCTAATACAATAAATTCGATTGAGAACATTCGTGCTATAACTTGTCTATTTTCCCTGAGTATGTTTCTTGAAACTGAAGTATCGTTAAAAGTAACGCTACACTGATAAACTGTCGTGTAAAATGATATGTTCCTATTTCCAGGAGCTTGGGCAAAAAAGGAAGCAATATTCCACGTCAAAACTGCACACCATATTATGCAAACTGTAATGTATCCATTCGATTTGGTATGCCGATGCGCAGTGAATGGGTTTCTTATTATCAAAAATACCGTTATGTCGTAGGCCATCATCATACACAACTGTACTGTAACGAATACTTTCAGCCAAAGCTTGGAGAAAATACAAAAGCTGTTGGAGTAGGCATATTTCTTCTTTGCGATTGATTCAATCGTGGATCCTATGTAAATAGCCACTCCAACGTTTGCGATAAGCATATTCCATAAATATATTCTCGCTGCTTTAACCATCTTTAATAGATTTGAATCGATTATCGACGATATCAAAAATAACAAGTTCCCTAAAAAAGCCGTTAGAAAAATCACGACAGTCCATATGAGCAAGCCGTACCAACAGATTTCTCCTGGAGGTATGAACTTGTGAAAATCCCGTGCATTGGTTGATGTTCCGTTCATCCTGTAAATTTAGTATATTAATGTTGGAAACTTGAGGAATTGTGTATTTTATGTTGTCCTTTTTGTTAAATATTTCGGATATATATACGAAGTAAATCATCAATATAATAGATTAACAAATAGCTACATTAATTGTATACTTAATTATTGAGATTGCACAATGAAACAAAAATGAATGATTACATCTTCGTAGTAAACTTACATAGCTAATCCTGCTTAATAAAAACTGATTATAATCACGAAGGAAATGCTAGAACATGAAACGTCACAAATCTGTCTCCAATCAAAAATTTAAGAAATCGTTACAACTTGGTATGAATCCAAAATGTGATGAATATGGAGGTATAGCCATTTTATCATCAGGTCAAAGTATAAAACATTTAAAATGACTCCTGACAACCAAACAAAATAGAAAGAAGTAAATACAAATTGTATTATGCTAATCAAAGATCAACCCATGTCAAGGACGAATTTAAACTTAGCAGAAAAAATCCTGCTACGCCGATTGCCAATTGCAATCCGATCAAAGAACCAAATAAAGTCCAGCGAGGACGACGCTTTCCATAAGGAGAAATTTTATATGATACAAAATAGAGGAGTGAAACCGAAAGAATCGTGAAGAAGTAATAACCCCAGCCCACGTATCTGAAAAAGGTGCTTTGCATACCGCAGGGATAAAGTTGATCAAGTAAACTCGCCCCAATTACACCTTCAACAACGAAGGGCACCGATAATTTCAAAAGAGTATAACTCTCTCTCAGAGATTCACTTGAGGCATCAGACGGTTCTTTGATGTAGCTCTCCGGATTCCGAAGGGATATTATGAAAATGTCCCTGAAACTAAACACATACAGCAGCCACAGATTCTTACACGTCATCATTATCTTCTTGACTGTGCCTTGATCGTTTTTTTGTATCTTGAGCAACTTAAATCCTTTGAAAATAGTAAGGTTGACTAGCAGCCACAAAAATGAGGAAAGTATGAGATATCCAATAACGTAAAGGTGGTTGGTAAAGGAATGCATTAATCCCGAGAATAGGAAAATCCTTGAAGGGATCATCATCATATAAGCTATGTTCAGAAGTATGGTATTGGTTATTGATATTTTTGGAGATGTGGGGTCCAACTTTCTCATTATCTTCTCTAGTGAAACAACGCTTGTCGGAACCTTGCAGAATGGTATGGCGATGGAATACACTCTTATTAATGGTAACATTGCAGTATAAATCTTAATGTATGCTGAACACATCCCTAAACTTGTGATAATGGAAAAGGTCGAAGAACAGTTGGTGGTAGATGAGTTGTAAAATTGATAATACTGGAAAGCTTGGCTGTCAACTGAATAACATTTAGGTCGCTCGTCCGGGCTGATGTTGTTTATGACTATTTGTAGAGTGTAGAACTGAACCAGCAGTTCTGGTACCTGTTCCATGATCACGTAGAACTGTTGCAGATGAGCTTGATTTGCCTTGTGTCGGTAAAAGACACGATGAGTCGTTGGAGAGTGTGTCAGAACTCGTAGCCGATCAACAACAGGACGAAGCATCATTGCTGACATAATATTGAATAGGATAGCTTGTATCTTCTTAAACCTGTCGCCTGTCACTCTGAAAGGCCAGAAAAGGCGATAAAAGAGTTCTTGTTTCCAGTGTTCACTTTTATTCAATACAGCATGTTTACTTTGCCAGTCAGCAAAAGCTAGCTCTGGCTTTCCCAGATGAATTCTCAGGAGCTCCTTCTCAGTATCATGCAGAGAAAAGTTTGAGCGAACGTTTTCATGGATGAACGAGAAGCTCACAAGGAAAATCTCAAATATCCCAAGACGTTTTGAAAAGTTGTGATAGTCCTCATATCCAACATTAGCATCAGAAAGGAGGTCAGAAATGTAAATGAAGATCGCTGAAGAGCAAGTAAAGGTAGCTAGATAACCCTGTAGTTTGCACGAGTGGGTCACTCTCGGTAAAGAATTTTCACCTTTTTCTAAAGTTTGCACCAATGAAGTGTACCACGAGACCTTTTTGACAGGGAAGTATGTTTTGCTTATATTAAGCCAAACGGTACTGCAGTTTCCCTTGTTGATTCTTTCGACTATGGAATAGAAATCAGTTTTATCGTCAAGGATGACCTCGAGACATGTGCTTTCAGTTTCCTTGCACCTGGCTTTGCTTTGTATACACTTATAGAAAGTAACAGCGTATACATGACGAATAGAGTTTATGTTTTTGCCTTCAGTCCGATAATTGTCAATAAGAAGTTGTATGATACTTTTGAATAAGTTTCCTTTAAAAAATATGAAACGAAATTTAGGATCGTCAAAGCTCTTTTCCAAACCAACTAACAAAAAGTTGATGATGATAGTTATCAGCGTCTTTTCCTCTGTATGGACAGATACATCGTCACGATGAGATGTAAGTGTTTTTATAATTTCAGGATCCTCTGTAAATAATATTCCAACAATTTCCTTAAATTCAGATGAATCAGGGAGTTCAAGTAAGATTCGATGTATCTTCCCCAGATTCAGATTGGATGTAACTTCCTCAAACATACCGTATATAATGGTAAACGCACACCGAACATCGATATTTTCAGTTTGTCGTAAAGTGGAAAGGTGCTCGACAGTTTGATAATATTGTCTTTTGAGAGCAGATTGCAAAGAAGAAAAGCTACTCAATCCACCATTAGTTGATTCATTAAGCTCCTGAAGGCCAGCCAAACTATCATTGTAATTTTCTGTTGCTAAATTGAGTGCACTTCGCCCTTTACCGTCCAATGCTTTCAGGTTACCATAATGGTCGCATAGAACTTCTAAAACATCGAACAAACTCTCCTTCACTGCTATATGCAGTGCTGTGAGACCAGACTGGTTATCCTTTGCCTCGAGAAACTCTTTGTTTTCAACTTCTATACGGAGCAAATATGATACAACTTCCTTATTGTGATTTTCCACAGCCGTGTGCAGCACAGTTTTTCCCGAGCTGTCTTTGGCACAGAGGAACGATTTGTTTAGATATTTATTCTTTATCAATAAATTGGCGCATCTGCAAATAACCCTTACTACATCCACACTTTCCATCTGGACCTGCTAAATTTAAGGGTGTCCTCTTAAAACCATCGGCAAATGTTAAAAATTCCGCTTGTCTTTGAGAGATTGTCTTGTCGAGCGATGTTTTATCAATTATCCTGCATAGCCTATTTACTTTTTGTAGATTGCTGCAGTCCACAGCTAAATACAGTTCATTCGCTGCTTCTGTTTCCACGCTCTGTTCAATGTTCTCTGGTTTGTTAATTTTCTTTGCTTTCCAACTGCCCTCAGGAATTTCCTCCTGCATTAAAATGGCATGTACCTTTTGAAACAATTATTTCTTTAAATTACTTTTTAGACAAATATTATATTTTGGTTTCAACGCCCAACTTGAAGTTGAATCGATAAAATAAAATCGAAACAAAACGTTCAATCAAAAATGCCGCAGGCTCAAAAATTAATACTAAATCAGCACTAACTATTCACACAATTAAATGGTTCAGTGCTTGAGGGTGCGTTATATTGTAGATTAATAATCTACCAAAACGCGCGGCTTCCTGAGTGAAGTGAACAATAAACTAGCAAGCTAAGGGGTCGTTCACATATTACGTAATCAATATTTTGGCAATTTTTACCCCCCCCCCCTCCGTAATCAACCGTAATCAAGACTGAACCCCCCTATATTGCGTAATCAAGGTTTGACCCCCCCCCCCCCCCGTAATCAAGACCCAACCCCCCTCCTATATATATTACATGTTAAGCCATTTATTTATTAAAAGCTATCACAACGGATTAATGAATGAAATAATCGCAAAGCACTTACTAAACGAAAATTGGTTTAAAAAACGAAAATTTTGATTACGTAATCAACGACCAAAACCCCCCCCCCCCCCCCCCCGTAATCAACCGTAAGCATTTGAAAACCCCCCCTCGGCTGATTACGTAATATGTGAACGACCCCTAAGTAACAATTTGGACTCTTCAACGCAGTCTTGAAATATTATTTGAAACAAATATTTTACGAGTTTCACCGTTAAGCGTTATATCACGACAGCCATGAGTGACAAATAGCGAGCGCCGAGACATTTAGCGTGAACTATCGCAAACCGACATCCTCCGCTATCTAGCGCTATAAGATGTCGCCGCGACATATAGCGTCATCTAGCGTCATTTCACGCTAGATGTCGAATTTAAACAATCGGTAAAGACTAAAGGTCCGTCATGTCACCGGTAAAATCATGAACGGTTTTGGTGTACATGTCCCCTTAACTATACATTTTGTGATTTTACTATTCCCTAAACATAAACGTTAAAATTTTTTCTAAAAACTACGTTTCTCCACGTTTTAAGCAATTTGGTCACTTTGAGCCAAATATTTTTCTGATATTTAGCTAATTAAATTGCTCAGCCATAAAGTGGAACTCCAAAATTTCAAAAATCCTTTGAAGGTTAAAAGCTCGTTGTCGGTAAATCGACAATTTATTATAATCAGTTAAAAATAAAATCCCCAATGGGCACCCTTCCCCCCTCCTTACTAAACAAATGACAAATGACTCAGCGGTTATACTTATCACATAACGTTAGAATCTCTGAAGCTGCTCAAGATCAGTATTCATGCACTTGATGAAATTTGATACTTGGATTGTGCTTCACGGCCTCTAGGTTATTTCTCTTATTTCTTTATCTGTTCCCTATAATCTCAGCAACATTCTGAAACCGTTGTCCCAGTGATAAAGCAAAAAGGGTTAGCAATATCAAGTTACTTGCCTAACTCCTAAATATTGTTTTGAGTCGTATTCTATAGTACCACTTTTTGTGTGGTCATTTTGGCAGTTGCAGTTCCACATCATAAACAGTGGGACTATGGGACCTGATCTCATTGTGAACAGTTGCCCAGTATTGTAGTAAATTATCTAGGATTTCCAAGCTAACTTACAGAACGAAATATCGGTTTAGTTTTAACACTTATAATGGAGTTAAGATCCGTTGATACACAGCAACTTCTCTGGTTGGGTATTGTCAACCTTATGACGATGGAGAGATGAGGATAATAAAAGGACCGGGAACGATGACGAAGAGATAAGAGGAGATAAGAGGAAGCTAACGCAGCTGAGAGATCACGAGGAGCGAGGCCCTAATGGCAATAGACTTGAGACTACATATATAAACAAGGAACTGAAACCGAGGGGTTCCGTTCAGGCCCTTCACACTTTGTTTCTGTATAGTTCTAATGTACCGTCACAATAGTGACTTTAAATATATCATTATCTATATAATATGTGGACATTTATTGAAGTGTTTACTTTTTTATGGGAAATGTTTTTTACTCATATTCCTATTGTACAGTTTATACATACCACTTATTGAACACCCAATTCAACGTGTCTTACGTCTTTTGGTCTGCCAAGTAAAGTATCAGCAAGCCCGAGGGAAATACCATTTTATCACACTAACGGGGCCAGAAACCGTTAAATTCTAAAGTGGGATAAAAGAAAAGGCCGGGCGCGGATTATTTTCCTGGTGTGATTTTTTTTCCAGATCTCTATTTCCGGCCTGTATGCCGAATATTATTATCTTATATAAGAAACAGAACGATGAACCGAGTTCTCGGAGGAAATCAAAATTACATTTTGTTTACAAGGCCAAGGGAAGATACAAATCCTAAATGATAAAACCTCATCCAATTAATTACCTTCCAAACTTACCATTCCCTTAATTTATAATTAATCTTCCTATTTTTCAGGATTCGGCAGTTTGATCCTCACTACGAAATTAGTGCCGCAACGCGACGTGGCACACTTGACGATGCTAAGAGGGTCGGCTACTGAGGGTGACGTCATCAAGATAGTGACATCACCAAGACCAAGATCATGACATCATCAAGATAGTGATTTCATCAAGATCATGACGTCAATTGTACTACGATACGTCTTAAACGTTTGCAACATGAACTTATACGCCAGTATGTTTCTCCGGACTTTTTTAACGGAGCGAAACTACTGTTGAAACTAAGCTGCGGGTTAATGATAAGCCTGATTATTTGTAAAGTTAGTTAAACATTTAAATTATTTTCACGTCGGGTAAACTGATCACATTGTCTTCAGTCTTCACCCGGCAATTATTTGGGCATACCAACAAATATTATGTTAAAAATGTAACTTTTATTTCAAACATATGGATGATGTTTGTTGGTGTGTCCAAATAATTGCTTGTGTTGGAATTACTCTATATTCAACCAATTGTGATTGTAATATAAGAGTCGTAACTTACAATCATTGTACAAAGTATTTATTATTTACGGAGTATTCCGTTTAAAGTTCCACGCCACATGTTAGTACTCAGTAGTCAATAGTCACCGCCCATGGCCGTGCACTGGAGGAGAGGGGGAGCTGGAGGGGAGGGGGAGCTGGAGGCAAGGACAAAAGGAAATCGCGGCACGTGCGGATTCGCGATTTTTCCCATTCTCCGCGACAAATCACGATTTTTGACGTTAATATATCATATCCTTTATAATTTATCCTAAGCCTAAGTGTGTGTGTTCGCTTCTCCGTAATTTAGCTGCAGTCTGTAAAATAATGTAATAATGACATCATAAGATTGAAGTGCTGAGTCTATTTTACACGTTTATTCCGGCATTTGTATCGGTTACAGAATTAGTTATTATGTGTAATATGATTAATTGATTTGATTTAGGTAATGGGTTCCCCGCGGCCGGCCGGTAAAGGCGCGATTATTTGCAGTCTGTAGTCTTAACTGTATAGTAGTAGAATTCTTGACACGAATATTCGCAGAAAAATATCTTTGAATCACTTTTCACGTACTGTCCGACTTATACCCGCTGGTACCTGATAATCTCAATTCTTACAATTTGTAGTTTGTACAGTAGTAACTAGTAATAGTCTGCATGTTCAGTGCTTAATCGATGTATGCAATGTACTTTGATCTTTAGTGCAGGAGAAATGTGGCTTCTTTGCGACCATTAGGGTACTTGTAAAGGTATTAATGTTTTTAGGAATACATTTCTTGTCCAAAGGGCGTGGTCACGTGACTTATCAACGGGCCAACCACGGTCATATGATACGGTCCTTCGCATGCCTGCACGCAAACATGAATACTATGCAGAAGTGGTACACATGATGTACAGTGTACACAGGTACACTGTACATACAGGTCACTACATTACGACCACCCAGTATTCTACTTGCAATCATGTTGCGAGATCTGCTTGACAACCTGCTGCCTCAGGATTGTACAGCGCAGTTGTCAGTCGTCTAATTTTGGCCAGTAACTGTTGTTCATGCATCCACATTTAACACGATGTACAGAGCACATGTTACAACTTATATTGTGTTTTTAGTTCAGTTTTGAAATATATTGCGGCTGGATTTGACTACGACACAGTTGGCAAAGATCCAAGCCCTCTGTTAATTGTAACTTTGTAATATGTAATACCTCTAACCTGTTATTCTGGACCTGAGTGGCTTCCAAATTTGGAGTTTTTAGAGTAATTCTATTGTAATTTCGAGCAGCTTTAAATCCTTTAATACATAATAAGCCGCTATTTCACAGCGGCTAAGCGGCTAGCAGGTTTTTGTTAGCTTTCTGTGGCCGTGCTGTTTGTTCCCGCTACTTTTCTACACGTTTTATACCTCTATCGTAAACGCGAAAGGGGTTGCAGCGCGTTTCAACCGCTACTCTTGATGTGTGTTCTGATCTTCAGGTCGTACGTCTTTTTCATATCCCCGATGCGTATTAAATCTGATGATTATCAATGTAGCTGTTGTTTTACTTTTAGGTTTTTGATATTGTCAACTATAAGTCGTATCAGTATATATTGAGATTTGAGGGGATGTATACAATATGGTCTATTGTGAAATTTTCCTATTTAATTTATTGCTTTCCAAAATTCGTGTTCTTCTATGTTGTTCAGTAAAACCCCAAGTTAACAAATTATTGGGATAAAAACTGAAAATTATGACTGGGTCGGGCTTCTTGGATACTGTCGGAGATCGAGGGATCGTTAAAAATCGGTCGAATGATCATTTTGGATATTGGACGCCCAAAATCCAACATTTAAATGCATCGATATAAACTGGCCATAGGCCTAACGAGATTCTTTTTTCTGTGTAAGTTATTCCTGAAATTTTTAAAATTAATTTATAATCTATGATTATGGATTGTCATCGTGATATTATTTAATGGTTGATAAATAAAAAATGATAAGATCCGAATTGAACGACCAATATCGGGCTTTACTTTCACCACATCTGAAAGTGAACTGTTATGTTGAATATTTCCAACCTTTGGCTCTCAATCTCTGGTATCACATACATAAGATTAAATCTAAATCGTATATAATTATAAGGGCGTCGCTGGTGCGACCAGCTTGTCGTGTGTCAGTTATCTCTCCGAGAAGAACAGTTCTTAATTTTTCAGCATAACTACACACTCCACTTGGCAGAGAGCAGAGTTGAACTTGTGTTCAATAAAAATGCTATTCTAAACCTGATCAAGAGAAGGTAAAAATAGAAATAGGACTTGTTGGAATGGAGCTCTACTGGTCAGGCAACCTGAAAGTTTAACTTAAACTTTTAACCCTCTATTCAGTTTACAGTTTACCTCAGTTTGTATTCTACTGGACCCTCGGGGTTCGGCAATCGACGGTCTTCCTTTGTGATAGAGCGTGTGTGTCGGTCATGACTCACGTCACATAACATGATTAACAATGTGATATTCTGATTCTTAGGTTGCAATCTAATAAACACGCTCCATTAGTCGCCCAGCCATTTTTGTAGAATATATATTGAAAAGCTGTTGTAGTATTTTTATTATTTTCATAGTTAGAATTATATATATTATACTGATAGTGATACATATTTATACTATATTAGTATTGCTTTTAGTGTTAGAAAAAATGTCAATTCTTTCATGTTCCAGCTGGGTTGTAGTCCTTCGTGACACACTGCATGTCACGTGATATCGTACCACATCACATGATATTGTGCCACATCACATGATATCGTGCCACATCACGTGATATCGTGCCAAATCACGTGATATCGTGCCACATCACGTGATATTGTGCCACATCACATGATATCGTGCCACATCACATGATATCGTGCCACATCACATGATATCGTGCCACATCACATGATATCGTGCTACATCACATGATATCGTGCCACATCACATGATATCGTGCCACATCACATGATATCGTGCCACATCACATGATATCGTGCTACATCACGTGATATCGTGCCACATCACGTGATATCGTGCCACATCACGTGGTATCGTGTCACATCACATGATATCGTGCCACATCACATGATATCGTGCCACATCACATGATATCGTGCCACATCACATGATATCGTGCCACATCACATGATATCGTGCCACATCACGTGGTATCGTGCCACATCACATGATATCGTGACACATCACATGATATCGTGCCACATCACGTGATATCGTGCCACATCACGTAATATCGTGCCACATCACGTAATATCGTGTCATGTCACGTGTGCTGTCTCTGCAAAGCTAACCTACTTATAGTTTCCGGCACATTCTCAACATGTTGGCAGGAACGCAGAACCTGTCACGCCAGGTAGAGTGTCAAACTCAATGTGTTCTACAGGACCACGTGATAGAATTGTGGTAGAGTATGCTGTAGTGCTGTTGTATACACGATGTCAAAGTGTTGAAAGAGTTTACTGTACTAAGTGCTATTTCGTGTGCATTTTCCTGTGAATTGAGCACCAGCCCTATATTTGAAAAGTGTCAAAGTTTGTCTCCGCATTTGCCCTTAAGGTTAACCTGTTTGCTTGTATTTTACCAGTTTCTTTTGCTGAAGATAAGTTCAGTATTAAAGGATAAAGATAACCCCGGGAAAGTTCTAGAATAAGCCCGGGAAAGTTTCTTATATATACATTGTTAGTCAGCCACAACTGTCAGTAAAACAAGGCTTTGACTGTCTCCGCATTTGCCCTTAAGGTTAACCTGTTTGCTTGTATTTTACCAGTTTCTTTGGAGGGAGGGAGGGAGGGAGGGAGGGAGGGAGGGAGGGAGGGAGGGAGGGAGGGAGGGAGGGAGGGAGGGAGGGAGGGAGGGAGGGAGGGAGGGAGGGAGGGAGGGAGGGAGGGATCGGGAGGGAGGGAGGGAGGGCGGTTGGTCCGGGACCCCCTCAAGAGTTCGATTACCGGTCCTGGTTCGATCACCGATCCTATCTCAAAATCAAGTTTCACAAAAAATACCCATCGCCCACTCCCCCCCCCCCCCCCCCCCCCCCCCCCCCTAAGACAACAAAGGATGTACGAGGTTAATTTCTTACACTGATTTTCCTGACAATTCCAGATCTGTAGTTCTAGATTTACACACATGGGATTTCTTATAATGTAGATTGGGAGAGTCTGCAAATCACATACTATAGTATCTAATCGTGACTAAAGTGACTCAATTCAAATCTGTTGAGTGATCGCGATCAAACTTTAGGAGTAATTCAGTTGCCACATTTATTACATTATGTTATAAATTTTTCTATTTTACGTGTTTTGCTAAACGAAACTAGTCTAAAGCTAAGGTTGTCACGGCACACGGAATCGTTTCATTATTATAATAAGTTGTGGAATGTGGACATATTCCGGCTCTTATATTCCATATTCCGGTTTCTTAAATTTCGAACCTTAGGGTCTGCCCACACTACGCCTCTATTCCCCGAAGGTTTGCCCACACTACGCCATGTGGTGACGGGCCACATGGCGTGGGTCAAAAAACAGGATTCACACAACGAGGCGCGTAGTGTGAGCAGACCTTCGGGGAACAGAGGCGTAGTGTGGGCAAACCCTTAAATCGTTCAGACCTTTTAAATTCCGGTAATTTTTACGGTTTTAATAAAATTAAATTGATCCGGCAATAAGTTTCAAAACTTGATTTCTTTTGGAGCCTCATTTAATCAGTCGGTCTTATTAAAGACTAGGAAGCCCGTGGTAACAGGGATGAATCTAGTAGTTTTCTATTTCTTTGGCAGTCAGTTTTTATCGCGTCAAAAAATATCCGTCACAACCAAAGATACAGCCGAGTTAAATGTTGCTTGTACTAAACACAGCGTAATACCAACAAAACCGATCAAAATGACGTTAAAACAATCATTGCACGTGCACGTGCGTGTAACAATCCTCGTTACCATGGTCACTATGCAACTTCCTATTTCTCGTCTGATTTGCACGTGGGCGGTCGTACAACATAAATAATTCTTTGAATTATAGTAGAGATTCTCTCACCCTCAAAGAAATCTCCGTTTGGAGATTTATCGATTTAACATTTATGCTATCATTTTTCCTTGTGTTTAAACTATAAATCGAAACTTATTAAAATTCGTAAGCTGTGAAACTGAATGAATGGGAAAAGCGAGCGACCGATTTTATTCTCGGTATCATTTTGCATTTGCGGACGGTTATTCAAATTAATATCATTTCCTTTTGTGTGGGAAAGAGAGACACTGGCAGCGGTCCACTTTACCCATGATTATGGGTTTTGGTCAAATTAATCATCGATAATAATGTAATAAATGTAATAAATGTTAAAATTTCTTTATTTATTTACAATCTGATAAGTACCTTGTCTGCATATAGCGGTGTGGACGGTAGCACTCGCTGTAACATTCACCAGCAATGACTACCACTTCAGAAGATTCTGGCGACCTAAAAACTGTAAGATATTCATTCTACGTCTTTAACCGTAAAGAACCCTGGCTGAAGTAGTAGTAATAATAATTTTATTTACAGCTACGATGATATTGATATACTATTACTATTAGTATTACTATCGTTGATTTCGAAAAACTTGAATTCGCTCAAATGTTAAATATCGATGTCTTGATAGTATAAAGGTATAACGATTCACAAATTGCTGATAAATAAAATGTAAAATTCAGGGTTACGAGCCGGTTGGAGACAATATAGAATTGGAAAGCGCAGGCGGTGATGATGACGATATTACAGCCGTCAGAAGACAGGTTTGTGAAGTCACCCACACGCAAATTTGTAACATAGTTGTCTGATAGTGATATTCTGAAGTATGGCAAAATGTTTGGAAAATGCAGACCTTCAGAGTCATTCTTCATTCTTACTGGGCGGCGCTCAGTCTATCATTCCGCCGAATCTCATCGACGTCTCGACTCTCGTACAGTCACTCAATCTATTTCTGTTGATTTCATGCGTGGGGTCCTCCATAAATCTTGATAAGTATTCATCTACTAAGAAAATACTTGTTGGAGTTACGTTTTAAATTTCTTCATTTTACTGTTTACACGCTATAACAACGGTATAAATTGTAAATTGGAAATATTGAAAATATGGCAAATAAGAAAATATTTGACACACGCTGTATACTTTATTCGGGTATTCTATATCATCGGGGAAGAGATATGCAAGCGGCCACGTTACATATTATGGTTTCGGGAAATAATCATAATAAAATATGTCAAAATTGCTTCAAATCCCACTAACTCCAATCTTGAGTACCCAGTCGCTGACATTTACCGTGATCCACCTTCAATTTGGGACTAGATCAAAAATTTTTTCTGACTAACTTTACCGTAAATATAGAGATATAGAAGTTAAATTTTCGATGCTAAAATTGATGATACAATCGAATTATCATAATATGTTGAATTCGAAAAAGATCATCATTAATATCGTGGTTATTAAAAAGGATAACGATTCAAAATTCTTAAATTAAAGGTAAAATCAGGATCGACTGTTACATAAATGGAAAGCCAGGGTATGATGCTGTTTACAGTCTTCATAAGTTTAACATGTTCGTAATCTCATCTGATCATTTTAACATAGTTTCAATATATATTCGAGTATGTCTTTAATTAAACTGTTACTTACTTCAAGTCCATTTCATTATGGCGGTAGTCTATACCTCGAATTTAAAATTCGGCTATTTGAATCCAATTTGAATTAGGAATATATACAAGCATTCAGCCTCTGATCTTTTTGCAATTTACTGAAGTCAAAACCTACAACAAGTGGCCCTAGTCTATTTCAGTGAATATAAGAAAATTTTAATATGTACCATAATCCCATTACGCTTGGACTCCCTATAAGTATAGTTTGTAAGAATGAAAATTGGCAAAATATGGCGAAATTACTAAAACATTTATCACCGCTGTAATCCGTACTTTTTCGTGCTCGAGGTATACAGCGTGTAGCATGAAGGAAATATGCCAAAGCCCGGCCCTCCCCGGTTCAATTATAAAAAATATAAAGCTTCATTTATTTATGATCATATTCTGGCTATCACTTTTGTGATAACATCAGGCTCGCAAAAATTGTATAACTTCAAAACTCCATCGATAAATCCAAGAAACCCTCCTCAGATGAGGTACCCGATCCTCAAGGACCCGAACTGGGTACTATCCTTCTTACTAGGATTACAACAGTACCTAGTGATGTGGGGTTCAACGTTTGGGATTTCTGTGGTGCTGGCTCCCAGCCTTTGTATTGACAGTGAGTTTTAACTTTTATATAAGTTATATTATAAATATAAATAGATAAATAGTTTTACAAAGGTTACATAAAGTTTTATGTAACCTTTCTTTCTTTGAGTTCTTGCATATTAACTTAGATGAATGTATGTTCAATGTTAGGCTGATTTATCTTTAGGATTTGATAGAATATGTGGATCATTTCGGTAGAATAAGATTCAGTTATGATTTGATAATAAAGTGTGTTCAAATGTAAAATGACGGAATAAAACAACGATTCACTTTACCCTATATTCAGGTAACTTAGCAGCAAAGGGGCAGCTTCTGAACACTATGTTTACTATGTGTGGCCTCACTACAATGATACAGGTAATCATTTGTTGTTTCAGTGTTATAATTGCTTAAAAATGTATTTCTGTTAACTTGTTCGTCAAGTCTTATCTATTATTTAAACAAAAAAAAAAATAAAAAAAAAGAAAGAAAAAAGTCTTATCTATTATTGTGAGCAGTAATATTAATAAATGATGTAAAATAACTTCGCTCAATGTAAGTTCAGCCTCCTGTACATTTCTTATCTTCAAATCCTCGCCAATATACCATCTTGTTTCAGGTATTCTTCGGAACTCGGTTACCCATCATTCAAAGTGGATCGTGGATATTCTTCCCGGTAGCTGCTGGCATCCTCTCCAAGAGTCCTTGTCAGGAAGTTTACCACGTGACTGACGAAAATGGAAGTAAGTAAAATTGATCCTGGATTCGTTCTGAATGCTAATAAGTCATTTTGTTCGCTTATGTACAAATGATTAAATACATATCCCCAAAACAAAACTTATATGTTCCTTCTAAAAACCTGATTTTTATAACCATGGTATAAATTAAGATTTAAGGACTGAGGGATAAAAAGTTCCAGAATAGGGTTCCACTGTACCACCAGCTAACGATCTTATATCCATCATTCCAACAAGGATAATCCTTGGGTTGAACACTTTTTACTTAAATTTACACATATTAATAATATTATATTATTATAATCAATTATTTCAGATAACACGACCCAGACGTGGGATCCGAACTGGCACACAAGGATGGCTGAGCTCCAGGGTAACCTGATGGTAGCCAGTTTGGCACAGGTAAAGTGCTGTTAGTAAATTTAAACTTGTATTTATTCCCTGGAGAAAAGTCTTGTGAAATTGGAAATTACTGAGAAAAGAGCTTTCGGTTTGCTGTTACGTACGGTATTCTACTTTCTTAAAATGATATTTAATCTGTAACTGTACACTTACAGAGTGTTTATGAATATTGGTTTGATTACAAACTATTCTATATACTGGGTTAACATGTAAACTTGTTTTCAGATGATAATTGGAGGGTTTGGACTTGTAGGCCTGCTCCTAAAGTTTGTTGGACCAGTTACCATCTCCGTGATGATCGCACTAATTGGTCTTAATTTGGCTGTAGTCGCGGAGTTTCAGACTAGTCAAAATTGGGGGATTTCCCTGTTGTAAGTTTTTAAAACCGGTCTTTTTCCGAAAATAAACATTCTCGATACTAATACTATATTCAACATTGTGAGTTGTAATCGCACAAACTCAATAAAGAGACATTTTTCCGGTCCTTGGTTCGGGGAAATAATTTCAAACGACATGTGTTAAGCTTGATTTGACGAGTTTATTCAGGATGGTAGTGTTGGTGACGCTGTTTTCAGAGTATCTCAAGAATGTTCCAATGCCTTTACCTTATGTCTCGTATTCTCGAGAGGAAGTGAGTGGACCTGCTCTTTATTATCCGAGCTTATTTTGACACGTGACAGTGATTATCCAATCAGCTTTCAGTATAAACTTGAATTACCTTTCTTCTTTTAAAGTACATATAATCTACGTCTCTTAGTCCTTGTTACTACTAAAAGTAGTTGGTAAGACAGGATATTTGCACAAATTTGTTACGTTAAATTTAGTCTTAGTATTAATAAACATTATGGGTTGTACCTGCAGCTATGATTAAGGCATAGCAGTGGTTAAAAGTTGTGACATTTTCAGGGATTAAATTATGGAGTGACCTGGCTAAAGCTGTTCTCAACTTTGTCGGTAATACAATAAACTGATTAAATTAATAATCAACTAATTAATTTTTGTCTATCTTGGTCAACTTCTTGATATCAATAGAACTGTTTTAAATTTGAACACATCATTGAAGATTTAGTATGAAATTCATCACATTTAGGTTTATTCTAAATCAAAGTACTCCTCTCGTATTTGCCTGACTGACTGCTAAGATCAAATGCATAACACTTCCAAAATGCATCTACAATTATCCAAGTAGAATTCTAGAAACATTCGATATGAGTTATGCTTACAACATGCTCATACTGTAACTGGAACGCAATGTTGAACAAACGTTTTAAATTTCAGGTAATAATATCTCTAACAATAGTGTGGGTCTTGTGTGGAATCCTCACCGCTACCGGTACTTTTCAAGAAGGCAACAAGGCTAGGATCGGAGACGTGTCTAGTAATCTCAATGATGCAACTTGGTTCTATTTCCCCTATCCAGGTTAGATTAAGAATACTTATATTCACTATAATGTAATTTATCATACCTCTATGATAGATATGAAGCTCAATATGATCACTTAGATCTTCACCATCGCACCATCGAGTTTGGTTACTTTCTGAGCTTAATGAACAGTTCTGTCAACTTTACAACAGTTCTGTCAACTTTACAACAGTTCTGTTAACTTTAAACAGTTCTGTCAACCTTTCAAATTCAACAGTTCTACCAACTTTTCAGGACAGTTTGGAACTCCGATAGTTAACGTGGGAGGGTTTGTGGGATTTCTGGCGGCAATCTTAGCGGGTGCTATTGAGAGTATCGGGGATTATTTCGCCTGCGCTAAATTGGCTGGTGCCCCTCCCCCGCCCAAGTAGGTTCATCTCTAAGGGATCTCTAAGTCTAAGAGTATAAAGGGATCTCTAAGTGGATTTTTTATTCTCTAAGCACTAAGGGTTTCTCTAAGTCTACTGCTACAGAGTACAAATAAAAAATCCAGACCTCAAAATTTAGAAGTTAATGTAATGCTCATGAACGGTTGAAAAAACTAAATTGTGTCTTTTAAAAGAGCGATTTCTGCGTTTAACGCCCTCACCAGTACCGATTCCTTCCCAGGTACGCTCTAAACAGAGGAATATTATTAGAAGGTGTCGGATGTTTCCTAGCAGGGCTCTGTGGTCCTGGGCTGGGTGTTACAAGTTACAGTGAGAATATAGGTGCTATCGGCCTTACTAAGGTGATTACTTTTAAGGGGATTGATAGGAAATTTCGCTGAGTTTTTTAAAATTCTAAGCACCTAGCCCACAAGATTGTATGCACTTTATATTGAAATAACAAACTCTTCAGTCTTCATTTTCCTAGAACGACTTTATCTTGACTATCTCAGCTTGTAACTGTAAGACTGACAACTAAGTGTTACACATACCCTGACCCAATTTCCACCAGACCATCAATCTTTCTTATTCAGTGCAATATAATTACATTTCATAACAATCATAATATCACTACATTTCCCACCAGGTTGGGAGTAGACGGGTGATTATCTGCAGTGCAATCCTCATGCTAGCCATGGGAACTGTAGGAAAGATCGGAGTGCTGTTAGCCTCCATACCCTCACCCATAATAGGTGGCATGTACATGGTGATGTTCGGAATTGTTACTGCTGTGGGCATTTCTAATCTTAGGGTAAAACTTTGTTTCATTTGCAATATTAGTGTAGGAATAGGATCAGTGGATAGGTTTTGATAACCACATTTTGGTTTGCTGTGAATTTTAAAATTAACATTTTAAAAATTAACATTTTAAAATTTCAACGAAATCTACCGCCCAGTTTGTTGACTTGACATCATCACGAAATGTTTTCATTATCGGAGTGTCAATCTATTTCGGGGTAGTTGTACCAATGTGGACCAGCAAAATAGTGAATGATCCTGAAGCAGCAGTAAGTCCAACAAATACTCCTGGTTTGATTATACAATTTTACTTATCGGTAGTACATGAACTCAATTATTGGACTGTCCGTCAGAATAAAATGTGAACCTTATAAGTCCAGATATCAGATAAGATTTGTTTACAGTTTATTCCCGCAGAAAGCAATCCAAACGGGTAACGATGAGTTTGACCAACTAGTCCGGGTGATATGCGCCTCTGGCATGATAGTAGGGGCTGCAATCGCCTGTTTCCTTGATAACACTATACCCGGAACTAAGAAAGAACGAGGTTACTAAGTTACTGATTTAGTAACTAGGATCGCCTTGAATAAAAGCGGCCACATCCAGTAAAATCCACTGTAGATTATTAATCAAGTTTCCACAAGTCTCTTCCAAATCTAACTTTAAACCACAGGACTAACCAGCTACGAGTTCTGTGCGAGTTCAGAAACTGACAAGGGCCTGGTGAACAAGATATACCGTGAACCGGTCATGGAGTACCTTGCTGGAAAACTACCAATTCTGAGGAAGCTTCCTTTTGTTCCAAACTAAGCAAGTTTCGTTCAAGACTCAGAATTGAAAAAAGCTTAACAAATTGAAATTTTATTAGGGTTTAGGACGATTGTATTTGTATGTTGTGTGACTCGCGACAATTAGTGTTAAAAAATAAACAGTTGTGGTTCACCAACAGGATCAATACCTATGAATGTGTCTTCTTTTAAATTATTATACGGTAAATTGAAATCTTTATCAATGTTTGTGTTTCTTGAAGTTGGGTGGACCAAGTGCATAATATGTCAATATCTTTCATAATTGATAATATGTAATCTGTATCCCACGTACCCTCCAGAATATAATGATTCATTTGATTAGGTAACGTTCACATTCTATTTTATATCCGTGAGCCATTTTATGCATTTTATGTATTATATATATAGCGTACATTATGCATATATATAGCGTACATTATGCATATTGTGTTCATTTCGACATTTCACGTTAGCGTAAGCAAGCTTCCACTTTTCAAACTTCTTCCCCCTGTAATATGCAAAGAACTACTTATGACTATGCTATGAGCAATTGACACCTACTACACTCGCTGATTACATTGTAGATAACCTTTCGTTTAATTTATAAAAAAAACTTTCAATGTTTTTGGGTATAACTAGGTTTTATTTATTCCATGACACAATTTTTCCTTCTATTCAACAAAATGTGATATTAACATAATTTAACATCCAAGGATTAGGAATCCCAAGAACAAATAAAATTAACAGTTTACCATTGCTTCCTTTTTATCGAAAATCAACATGCGTACAAAAGCCAAAACTATGTAATCTGATGACAACAAGTAAATCTGATTAAATATAATAATGAATAAACATTTAATTTTATAAATTAAATTACACTATACTAGTATTATAGGTATTTCAATGTATCCTTCAGCTTGAAAGACAAACAAAAAACCCGTAAATTAACAATTCATAAATTAATAATTCGTAATTTAAAAAGTTTATATTCACTTTTTATTACATCTTTTCCCGCCACAAGAAAAACCTTAACCCCATCACTGAACAGAACAAGTTTTGCTCTGACTCGAAGCCTTCTTCCCCGTCTTCATCGGCCCCGTCACCCTAACCTCCCTCCCCTCCGCGTCATCGTCCTCCAAATATTTGTGTTTGTTCGAGGATATGTCAGCGAGGCTTTCCCTGTAGCCCCCTACAGGGAACACGATGGGTTCATCGTCACTGTTCGTACTGTTCTTGTCTGTTCCAGCGTTGGAGAGTTCTCTTCTGAGCTCCTCCTCGGCTATCTGGAGGCGTGAGGCGTGATTGGTTAATTACTGATCAATTACTGAACAATTATTGAACCATTACTGATCAATTACTCATCAATTAATGATGAATTACTGATGAATTATTGATCAATTACTGATCAATTACTGATCACTTAGTATAGTACTATGTCCATAGTGACACTATATTATACTAGTGATATCTTTTATGTTAATAAGTTAATAGTGGTGCTGTTAAACTTCAATTTTGTATTATTACGATTTTTGGTGTGATCGTTGATAACACGAAAAGTAGGCTGCTAAAAATTAAGTTTATACGAAGAATTAAACAATAATGGTGAGGGAAAACAAACGGAAATAAACTTTGATTTTATGTCTCTGATATTTAGGAACTCACCTCGTCTTTGTGCATATGAACTTGAGATAAGAACTTCCTCATGTTTGTCAAATGTGGTGTCCAGAAATCTGCTTCTACGTGAATTCCCCTCACTTTCTGCAAGATAAGAAACATTCATACATCATAGAGAATTCAAATTGAAAATGTCCCATTTTCTCCCTGATTCAAAGGTGTCCCCTGCACTCTGCAGTGTTCTAATCAACATCAATCAAATAATTTCAACATGGAAAATAACTAATTAATCAAAGTTTAATCTCTAACCAGCTCTGACTCAATATCGTTAAGTTTGTTCTTGTAGTACTTATCCATCTCCTCAACACTCTTCTCCCTCCTCCTGTCATCCTCCAAATCAATTGATTTCAGTTTCTTCTTCAACTCTTGGTACAGATGTTTCTGTTCGTCTAATAGACTCGTCGTATTGAACAGCTGAGGTTTGAAGCTGCATGTAATAAGTGATGTAATGGCCTGTTTGCCTGCCAAATTTCGACTGTAGATTCACGATTTTCAGCTCAACCCTTCTACTGCCCGACTCTTTCGAACATTATAATTTTCAAATTACACAATTAAACTTAAATGTCGTACTAGCAAATAATTGTTTGCTTGAAATTTTGACTAAATCGTTATTCTAGCTGTTAGAACCCAAGGACTGACCTTGGTGGTATAGTCCTCAACTTCATCTTGGAGAATAGAGTTCTGGTCACTTGCCGACCTAAGTAGATCCAGCAGATGTGGCACTGTCGCTATTGCAGGGTCAATATCTGGATATCATTAGTTTAGTCAAGAGTACGGTTATGGGATGTTTAGAATCAGCAGTAGACAAAATTGTTACGTCCGGCATTAAGAATACATCGAACAGCATGAGTTATAAATTAAAGTGCGAAAAATCTCTTTTTCATCTAAGACTATAACGTAAAGACGTAAGCTGTATATAACGATTGTTACAGAATGCTACAATAAGTCGGAGAATTCCGTAAAAATATTCACTACCTAAACCGTTGCACCTCATAACCACATCATTAGAATCTGGTCGAATTTTCTCCAACTCTGTTCTGTAACTCTCCACCTCAACCTAAAATACTAGAAATTGGGGTTTAAATAAAAAATTTAGGTGTGAACTTTAGACAAATCGTTTAATATCGTTTTAGTTTTAAGAATCTTTTATCTTATGTAGGATCTTGGGATTTGGATAACTGAAGAAATATGATACCGCGGGAAGCTCGGCTCTATTATGTCCCCTGACAAAGTGTATCCAAATATGCATAGGCATTTGGACCGGGAATTTCGGAAAATGCCGAGAGATTTGGTCAGGATAATCACAAAATCTGGTCAGGAAGCCAACAATTTAAAAACTATGAACAAAATATAGAAAGGACAAACCTTTAAATTTTCTATGGTGGCTTCCATTTTACTCATTTTCTTATGTATTGTCATAGCAGGAGTCAAATCCTCTAATGTACGATTTTTGTCAGAAGATTTGGTATTTGGTGTTGACTCTTTGGATGTTTTCCTGTCTTCGGCCAGCATATGTTGTCCTAAAAAATTAGATTGCACATGATGTCAAAAATTTAAACTTAAGTTTTTCATATTTTGTATCTACCAGACCGTTTAAAAAATATTATGAGACATTATTGAGTATCATTAAAAAACCGTGAACTCAGTCAAATGATTTAAATTTAATGATAAAGTAGTTACCCATGCCCTGTACGGCTGTAAAGTCGGTCTCAATTTCGTGTTCAGAGTTGAATTTTTCCTCCAATTTCTTAAAATTTGAGTCGAGAGTTTGGTCAACATCGTGTTCCAGTCCGTCAGACATTGAGTCTATCAAACTGAAATGGAAGTTAATGAAACTGATTAGAATTGGAATTAAATTGCATTTGAACGACGTGGAAATATATTTACTTTTAGTGGCTGATCATATTTATATTTTAGAAATGGACAGAGGATACTTTGGTTTCTGCGAAATTGTTGTTCATTCAACAAATTGTTCTTTTGAGTGATATGTCATAAACTGAGATGAAATCTAGTGAAATGTCATCAGGTACCATCACAATAATCATAAGTAATCAAGAAAATACGCCCACGCCATGTATTATGGACATAACCCATCAATTAAACGTCAATTTGCCTCAACAAACGTTCTATAGTGGAATCAGATAATATCCAGAAAACGATTTCAAATACCTAACAGAAGTTCGAAGATCGTGTTTCGATAAGTCCAGAGACTTTACAGATTCGCGGCCGTGGATAGACGGCTGCTTTTCCTGACTATTTTCTGCTTTCAGTATAGTTTCTGATTTCATTATAGTTTCTGATGATTTTAGGCACAAGTGACTTAGACTAGAGCTATTCGAGTAGAGCTCTTTTGTCGACATTATCTTTGATGTTGATTCCTCCTGTATCTTGTTTTTCTCCTCAATTTTCTCGTCTATAATTTTGTTGTCCTCTTCCGGATCAGGATTTTTTTCCTCTGCTACTTCATTTAGCGCCTTCTCCCCCTGAAATCGTACAACTTGTATCTTGTTTTTATCCTCCTTAATTTTCTCGTTAATAATTTTGTTGTCCTCTTCCTGATCCGGATTTTTTTCCTCGGCTACTTCATTCAGCGCCTTCTCCCCCTGAAATTCTTCAACTGATATTGAGTTTTCAGGTAGCTCCCCCTGAATTTCTTTAACTAACACTGAATTGTCAGGTAGTTGTGGTGAAGACTCCAGATCCAAATCAGTTTCGGGTACTGGTTCGGCTTTGTTGTCATGTTCATCAACAAGATCAGGAGCACCCGAATCATTGTCATCACCATTTGTTTCATTTTCTTTAGAGTAACACTCGTTTATTTGATCTAAGTTCATTTTTGAAGGGGTATCGATCATTTGTTCAGATTCTTCGTTTTCAATTCTTTCCTTAATTGATTGAACTAGAATAAGTCGCGATGGACTGTCTACAAGACATTGAGAATTTGCCCTGACATTTTCGTTGTTTATATGAACCCCACTCATTACTTTCACAAGAGTGTCTTTTACTATTTCTGCTGAGACATCTTCCAGAGACTTTTCCATAAGCGAGTAACTCTGGTAACCTCCTACGGAGGGCAGAGAATCTACTTGTTGGGCCTGTTGATATGTTTGTTGTGATTGTGCGAATGTATTCAACTTAGGACGGGTAATATAATACTTGTAGTAATATCCATGCACGCATTATTATTCAGAGGTAATGCCATAATGGATAGTAATTAGTATCCGTGGGGATGCCCGAGAGTCAAGGGTCCTGACTCTGATTAAAAGTAAACGGTACTTTACTTGACATTAAAATTTTAAGACTGTCAAAATTCGCACTGCCAAACTAATGTACGGATAGAATTATGTACGCTAACTGTCGAAAATACTTTGACCAAGTTTGGCTGATGTTAACTGTGGCCGAAGTTGGCTACAAGTCAGTGACAGTAAGATCGTTTCGGGTAAGTTTTAAAGCATTTAGCATAACTGTCTATACTGCAAGTTACAACCGATAAAGCAACTTAAAATACTGCTCTTACCTCGATCAAAGAAGTTGCAGAAGATATAGACATCCTGCCCTACAAATATTAAAATTAAATTAGGTCTAATGAACTGTGAATTGTTACTCGCAACAATCCATACCGTCTCCTCGCAATTAGGGATCTCAATCATCCATCGCGCGGCGTATCATTATGTCACAGACGATATTTTAGAAGTACTTTGAACTATTAAGTTTGTTTAGCGCGTTCCATCTGCGTTAGTTTAAATTGTTACAAATTGTAAGGCAGAAAACCAAGCATTTTCAGCTATTAAACAGAATAATTTTATCCAGATCATACTATATGATTTTCTACAAACTTTTCTGATAAGAATAAGACTTGCAAGCTTGAACGAATTTCTATGTACACAATACACGTCATGTACACTGTACAAAGCATTATAGATGTTGAGATAGCTTATCCCTAATAAGGATCTGCTATGTATACTGTGATGACAAATTCTGATTGTTATTGAAAATATATATATATCAGTTCAACCTACATCTACCTAGCCATACGAGATTAAATGCGAGCTAACAATTGCAGCAACAATTTATGTAATGTTTGCAGGAAGTGAGAGAGGAAGAGCTGGTCTAATGATCGAGGGAAACAATGAAAGAGCAAGCTTCCCTGCACTGGGTAGGTGTTCTGACGGGAGCCCTTGTTCGAGGCTCAGGGGACTATTATATTACAGCTCGGGGTCTGGAAACCTTTTGAGTGTTTAGTTTCTATGGTTTTGTAACCGAAGGAAACGGTCGCAGTGGCGTAACGATTAACGAAGGGCGCCAACAGGCAACGTCACGCCACTGAACGGTCGTATGTTTAAAACCCTACCCACAACTCTAACCCTACCCACAACTCTAACCCTACCCACAACTCTAACCCTACCCACAACTCTAACCCTAACTGTAAACACTCGAATTCGTGTCAGTTAAGTTGTCACGTGACAAAACAGTTTTTGCCTCTAACTCCTCAGGGAAGTGATTTAACGCTTTGTTATGGGTGTGACTCGGAATTAGCGTCCAAAATTATGCTACTTTCATTGTTCATACCTCCAAAGCACTTGTAACATTCTTGCTGAGTTATTTAGTGGAAATGACTTAGATCGCTTCGTTCCATAAATATGTTCAAAATGTGTCCCCGCCACCTCTCAGAAACTCAAAAACTTCCTACACTCATCAGTCAAATCATACTATTACAGGTTACTAGATTAGTGTACAAACAACATGAACCATAACGTAAACCATTTAAAAAACATTTCAGTATTTAACTCGCCAAATGTTACTGGGTGGTTTCGGGTGGTTTAGTTTGTGTAATTATTTAGTGTTACTAAGGACCCTTTGTCCCTTTAAGTCAAGTTAAAGTAGAAAACACAATGCCATAGATTCTTGTACAGTTGATTGCTAAATTTCTCGTGTATTACTAACGGTCCCGGAGATATTACTGCCCTTTTACTACTCGCTAGCAACCCATTACTACTCCCCAGCAACCCATTACTACTCCCTAGCAACCCATTGAACATATTCACTAAACTACTTATTACTCTGCACAATCCATCACAAAACTATTCACATAACACTCATACCTCACGGAGGGGTAGGAGTGGTAAGTTACCAAGTTACTCGTTACAACGGACATGCAGTCATATTGAACTGCCCCAGGCTCTATCGTCCCTGTCACTGAATTTACCTTAACAAAGTTAGGGCACTATGAATATTTTCTGGGAACTGATTTGCCACAAGCATTTCTGTACAGGAATGTGTTTTCTATAGTCCCAGGAACCACCGCAAAGAGTTGTAAAAGTAGATCTGATGGGCACAACAATCTAGAGCATACTTTCTCCAGGCACCCTACGAAGAAACTTTAAAAGTTTTGTTTCAGGAGAGGGGTGCAAAATTACTGCAATGGTTACATTATAAACTATGCAGTTCGGTCCATCTCCCCATCCGCAAACAGCACTGTAAAATGGAAGATTCCATTCATCCAAGACCACATACTTGACGACCTAGGAAGACCACCGGTCCCTATTCTCGCTATCACTGAATCATGGTTGAAGCCATATATCAGTGATGCTCAAATAGCTATAGATGGGTACAACAGTCTTAGAGCAGACCGTCAAAGTCGAAAAGGTGGTGGTTGTGTGCTTTACGTTGAAAATTCGCTGCTAGTATCAGATACTGTAAATTTCAGTGACAAACACTGCAGTATGCTGAATTGTTTCATAGACTCTATGAACGCCCTTGTCTCCGTGATATACCGCCCACCAGATGCTCCTCCCGGATCCTTCAAAGCAGTCCTGGACCAGGTGCAGGAGAAGCTAAATAATCTGACATCGAACGATAGATCACCTGACATCTACATTATGGGGGATTTCAACCTCCCAAATATAGATTGGGACTCTTGCCAAGCTTTACCTGGTCAACCACTTTGTGACCAGCAAGCTTGTTCCGAACTAATTGATTTCATGGAGAGAAATTTCTTGACACAAATGATTTGTAATCCCACGAGAAATAACAACACCATCGATCTTGTCCTCACAAATAAGCCACAGGACACAATTGAGACCAATATCTCCGAATGCCAACTATCTGACCACAGGCTAGTTGAGCTCGTACTCGGACATAACCCGCTCTGCCCAAAAGAACATACTCCTATATCTTTCGACAGAAACTCTTTTCGGGCGACTGATTTTCATAGAGCAGACTTTGAAGCTATGAACGATCGTTTAGAAGCTGTTAACTGGATCTCTTTGAGAGAACTCTGTTATGAAGATGAAGATGGAAGTGCTTTTCTGGAGCTTATACGCCTAACTGTCCTCCAGATAACCCTCCTAAATTCGCCTTCTAAAGACCCTACTGGAACTGGCCCCTCCCGCCCTCGTAGAAGTCTTCAAGTCCGTGAAAAATACACAATGAAGAGGAAAAGAAGAAAACTGAATGCCCAAATAAGTGCACTTACTCAAAACAACCCAACTTCGAGAAAAATCGAAAAGCTGAAAACCGAAGTTAATCTTCTGACCTTCGAAATAAGTGAACTTGTGATCAAGCAACTTAACGAAAAAGAAGTAAAAGCTGTAAGTACAATAAAGACGAACCCAAGATTCTTTTATTCTTACGCTAAACGATTTGCAAAGGTAAAATCATCCGTCGCCCCAATTAGAGATACAAACGGAACTCTGAAAATGGACCCAGCGGAAAAAGCAGAAATTCTCCAGACTCAATATGTCACAGTCTTCAGCAACCCAAATTCTGCCAATGTTGAAGAATGCCTCACCGGATTAGATCCTCATCCAAAGGAAGATCTCAACACATTCACCTTCACAGCAGACGACATATCAGATGCCATAAAGGAACTGGACCCGTATGCCTCCACCCCTGATGGTGACATCCCGGCCAAGATCCTAACTAAATGTCGAAGGACAATCGCTGAACCAATTTATCTACTCTGGAAACACTCATTTGATAACGGAATCATACCATCTGGTATGAAGACACAGTACATCACGCCTGTGTTCAAGAAAGGAGACCGAACATCTGCCGCTAACTATCGCCCTGTCTCGATAACCTCTCACATTATTAAGATATTTGAGAGAGTGGTCAGAAATCATCTTGTGGAACATATGGAGTCAAACAGCTTTCTCTCCCCCCATCAACATGGATTCCGCAAGAAAAGAAGCTGCTTAACTCAACTAATAGACCACGTAGATAATATCCTGAAAACTCTCAATGACGGCAACGAGGTTGATGTGATATACCTTGATTATGCGAAAGCTTTCGATAAGGTAGATCATCAAATACTACTTGCAAAGGCAAAACGCTACGGAATAAAAGGAAAGACTCTGCAATGGCTGACTGAATTCCTGAAGGATCGCCTGCAAACTGTGGTCGTGGAAGGAACAAAATCATCCTTTCAGCTAGTAATCAGTGGGGTACCCCAAGGAACAGTATTGGGACCCATTCTATTCATTCTCTATATTGACGACCAACTTGGTACATTGGTTACCGCTCTGGGAAAGGTGTTTGCTGACGACACCAAGCTCATTGGAAAAATAATGGACCTAGCTACCAAAAGCTTACTTCAAGACGACCTCCTCAATGTAATCGCTTGGGCCCTGAAGAACAACATGCAACTAAATGAGGCCAAATTCGAAATATTGAATTACAGCTTGAACAATTCTTTACTGTTAAGGGGGCCGGGGGGGGGGGGGGGTCTTCATCAAAATTCTCTCGAAATTGATTTTATAGTTGTTTCTGATAGAGGGGAGTGATATCTATCAGCTACTTTTGGTCCCATGGAAAAATATTGTTCCTAGCCGAAATTATCGCTGGTCAAAGGTCAGCGCTCATGTGTAATTGTATTGCGCGAGCGATTTTCAATCGCGCGTCCTGAAAATCGAGTCTAAAAATCTATCTTCTCCTACATTTTTTGAGCAATCACCCTGAAACTTTCAGGATATGTTCTAAGGATCATTTAGAAGAGAAGTATCGAGCCGAATTTTGAGATAGGCCTCAGAAAATTTTTAATTCGATTTTGAAAATCTTGGACCTCATTTTTTGACGATTTTTCCAGGTCCAAGATTTTCAAAATCGATTCAAAAATTTTCTGAGGCCTATCTCAAAATTCGGCTCGATACTTCTCTTCTAAATGATCCTTAGAACATATCCTGAAAGTTTCAGGGTGATTGCTCAAAAAATGTAGGAGAAGATAGATTTTTAGACTCGATTTTCAGGACGCGCGATTGAAAATCGCTCGCGCAATACAATTACACATGAGCGCTGACCTTTGACCAGCGATAATTTCGGCTAGGAACAATATTTTTCCATGGGACCAAAAGTAGCTGATAGATATCACTCCCCTCTATCAGAAACAACTATAAAATCAATTTCGAGAGAATTTTGATGAAGACCCCCCCGGCCCCCTTAAGAGAATTGCCCTTCACCAGTCAATATTCCTGTTACAATTTGACAAATGGAAGAACTATTGACCCAGCCAAAACTGTGAGGGACCTAGGGGTTCTCCTGTCAAATGACTGCTCCTGGTCTTCTCACATACAGCAGATGACTAAAACAGCAAGGACAATGACGTCATGGGTCCTTAGCGTATTCAGAGATAGGTCACGCTTCCTCATGCTCACCCTTTACAAAACCATGGTGAGAAGCAAACTCGAATACTGCTGCCCGGTGTGGAACCCTGACAAAATCAGCGATATAGAAGCTATTGAAAGCATCCAACGACACTACACTCGTCGAATCAGTGGTTGCCAGAACCTTGATTACTGGAAACGCCTGCAGAACCTGAATCTTCTCTCATTACAGAGACGCAGAGAACGATACATCATAATCCATACATGGAAGATGATGAATGGACTAGCTCCGAACGACATCAACATGCAGTTCAAGGAAAGCTCCCGGCACGGTATAAAGGCCACTGTGCCTGCATTTAATAAAAAGGCACAATGCTCAATCTCGACCCATTATGAAAACTCTTTCGGAGTAAAAGCAGCCAAACTATGGAACCTGCTCCCTAAGGAAGTTAACAAAATCCAAATCTTGGAAATTTTCAAATCCTCCCTTGCTAAATTCTTGAAAGGCTTCCCGGATACCCCGCCCACAAAAGGGTATACCGCCATCACAAATAACTCTCTTCTGGAATGGACTCTACAAAAAGATCTAACCCAGGAGTGATTGGAGGACGTACTTGATACTGTTGTCCAGAAGCGATCCCTGCCGAACCTACCTAAAGTAACCTAAAGTAAGTAAGTTGATAAGGCAGTGGACCAGTTTGATGTTTCATCCAAGCTTTACTCGGATCATTTGTTGACGGTAGAGGAAAAATAATATCATCGGATGCTGGGGCCTGGTGCCGCAATTTTAGGTAATTTTGGATTCACACTTTTCGTAAAAGTTTGCCGAAAATTGTTGACTCTGTCTAATTGTGATCTCTCCTTATCGGGGAACAAAAATGGAGGACTATTCTTTTTGTCATTCCAGCGATTTAGGGTTGAATAATGATTAATGAATAACGATTGTGATATTTTAAAACCAATTAAATTATTCTTGGTATCATGAAGAATTGGGGACCTCAATAATTCTGTTTTATTTTAAGCTCTATGTAGGAATTAACTCCTTTGTAAAGTGAGCGCAGCTCATCTGGGATCATATCCTGAGGATATCCTCTGCAGTTAGTTCACATCTCTTCTGATAACAAGATAACATTACACATTCTAAAATGGGTGATTAGTGAAAATGTGGTGATATGAGGGATATGTTGTGACAATGAGATTATCTAGCAGATTATAATATCTCAATTCAGTATTCAACATACTGATAATTGGATAATATCCGGTTGAAAGAGACAAGGACAAATGAAACAGGAAGTTAGGAATTTTACCGAAAATTTGTCTACATTCCTAACTTCCTGTTTCATTTGTCCTTGTCTAATAAACAGCGAACTACTCCACCATTTAGTATTCAACATGTTTCTAGTAAATCTAGAATTATAGCGCAATTTTCAAGATTCAGAACACGATTGACGAATAATCAATGAAACACAATATATCTTTAAGGTTTCTAAAATAAAATGTATTTTCAGGTTTTTTAAACACTACATCGCAATATTGGACCGGTAAAAGTCAACACTCATTGTACAAAAATAAGCATATTATCATAGAATATATAATATATATTATTCACCGTAAAAGAAATCAAAAATTATCAAATGAAAAGATGATAATAAACTCGTCTACAGACTACAACTAAAGTATATCTACAGCGATTTAGAATTGGCGTTTCAAGTAGAAATACCGTAGACAGAATACCGTAGAAAGAACCTAGCCTAGGCTTAGCCTACATTTTCATAATCAGAATTTGGTGATCTTAACCGTCAATTCTAAATCAATGCACTATAATCTATATTGGAATTTCAAAATGTCCAACAAAATTTTCACCTACAGAAAAATTCAGAAAATGCTAAAATAACCAAGGTGCTACAAGAACGTAACTCTCCCAAATAATTATGTCTACCAGGCTCCATTAAAAGCGGCGTTTTCTTTGCCTTGAGCGATAACGGTTATAGGTTTCCAGGGGTATTCAGTTTTAGCTAGGTAGTTACACGCGTAGGACATGCCGTTCTTTCGTTCATCAATTGACGCTCCTGTTAAGGTATGTTAACGTTAATAATCGGTAGTAATTATGTGAATAATTGATTGGTTAATTATGTGAATAATTAATTGGTTAATTAAGTGAATGATTAGTTGGTTAAAAGTTGATTTCTTCGCAGTTTTCGTTTCCCCCGAAAGCCCGGTTTGACATTAATCAATGAGTTATAATTATTATTACAGTTTATTTTTAGATTATTGTTATTTAATAAACATTGATTTAGAAGCCCGTGGTGGTGCCCTTCAGGGTTTTCAATCAAAATTGTACACTGAAATGTCCAGTAAAGAGAAGTGAATGTAAACACGACTGAAAAAAAAAGGGGAAAAAAACACGACTGACCTGATCCAATCCACACGTACACACCATTTTCACTGTCTAACACGTACACGTTGTCAGAATTCAGACTATCTTTGCTAACCTCCTCCACTGGGTCCATGTCTAGAGAACCGTCATTATCAGAGATCTGAGAATAGTTAATTAATTAGTAATTATTTAATTAATTAGTAATTATTATTTAATAATCAAATTAATTAGCTTGTACTTTCTTGAAACGTGTGAATGATAGTCACAGAAGCTTTTTTTTAATGTGTTTAACTTTATCGTCTTCAGGCCATATTGTTGTATGATAACTTGAAATTATGAGTCATTATAAACGACATACCTTATCGGACCTTATTTGGACGGACATTACTTGAACGCTGGAGGCCCTAGCGTTCGTTTTAATGTCCGTTCAAATAAAGTCCGTTCAATTAATGTCCGTCCAAGTTAAAGTCCGTTGAAATTTTTTCAAAAAATTTGTCCATTTCGAACTTTTTGTCCAGAATATGACAACTATGAGAACTTTATTGTGCCGTAAGTTAACGAAGGAAATGTTCTCCTTGGTCTGCTGTAGGCACAGAAAACTCTATTAGTATATGATGTTTCCAAGGGTCACTTGGCGGAAAAAGTCAATAATAATATATGATAAGTGACGTTCAGGAAAATTTGATGGACGAAGAAAATTGAAAATTGAAAATAAGACACAAGTCCAGAAATGAGCTGGCGGTGGGATCGAATGATAAATTAGCTTAGCCGACTGAATGATTCAATGAAACAAGAAATATTTTAAGACTGTATAATTGGTGTGGAACAGCCCTTAAACATTCTGCAATTTATGGAGGATTTCTGGAATTTCTGGAAATGATCTTACTTTACCTCACGTACCTGCACCCCGACACTAAGTGGACCGACAATGGTATGGGGGTCACGACATGATGGTATGAGGGTCACGACAATGGTATGGGGGTCACGACTTCATACAAATCTTAATCAGGTAACCGGAAGTTAACCCAGTAGAGGAATCTATGAATCTTTCCTAGCCGTTAAGTAAACATCTACGGTAAGGTAATGCTTCCCTTGACGATAACCCAGCCTGTGGACATACTATGTTTCTAAGATAAACATATATCTCTGCGGCTATTTCTATCCTCAGGATGCCAGATAATGTGAGAAAAAAAAACACTTCAGTTTATATTGGTCGTTCGCTTTTCTTATTCTGATTCATTCACGGCCGATTTCATTCTCGGCAACATTTCGCGTTTAGTACAGAAACGGTAATTTAATTTGATATCATTTCCTTTTATTTGGAAAAAGGAAACTTTTGTTACGTTCCATGCACTTTATATTATTACCCAATTTTGGGTTTTGGTTGAAAACTATTTCCAATGGAATTGAACATGAAATAATTTAAGTTTAACTACATGTATATTGTATAGTGTCAGTGACAAATAAAAGTGTCAATGCAATGCAAACATTTATATGTGCCATTAATTTACGAGAGGGCCACCAAAATGTTTGTCGAAATAATTTTTGGGAACTAAGAGTAAAATAAGAAACTTTCTAATAGTAATTGTGGTACGAGAGAGCATATTATTATAAACAAATTAATTCTATCAAAATTCTTGTTACTGGGCGGCGCTCGGCCTATCAATTGTTATTCCAATATATATTCAACCTGTTTATGAACAGAGAGGTCCCCAGGTAAAATTCGTGGGGAGATATAATTAAATTTCTCAATCGTTATGTGGTAGTTGGTATGGTACCCTGATAATGACTTGTAATTTATACTTATACTTGAACCCATGTCTATACTGGAGCTACGCGTTTCCAAGAAATCTTGATTACTTGATTCAATCATTATTCAATTCCCCGTAAAACAAAAATAATTCCTCCTTTCCCACCTCTAGATACCTCGCAATGTTCACATGTAATAGCAGATAATTCAGGGGTGTAGGAATGATTTTCTGTGCGCCACAGTCAGAATTTCAAAGGTTTTATAAATTTCAATACTATAGTAGTAGTATCGTGCAGTTAAAGTTTGCCGAAGGCAAACATTTTTGAACATTTTGCTCGTGCAAAACGCCTGGAAGCAATTTGGCAATACTAATAGAGACATTTTTGAACTATGCTTACACTGTACACCATTAAAATATTCTCTACAAATAATATAACACTAGTTCTACTAGTATATGATGTTTTCAAGGGTCACTTGGCGGAAAAGTCACCGAAATTATGGCACTCAACAACATAGTTCATGAGTTAGTCCCCGCCAACATGACAAACTTGTTCCAGCCTCTAGATATTACGGTAAATCGTGTTGCCAAGGACATTGTCCGACGTTGTTATAGTTCATATAACTCAGGGGAGGTAATGAAACAGTGCTAGGAAAGCCCCACGTGATGTTAAGATAAACCTAAAGTTGTCTAAGATAAAACCACTTCACACCGAATGGCTTGTAAAAGTTAACACTGAAATACAGGACCGGGGGCGGGGTAGTTTGATAAAAAAGGTTTCCATAAAGCTAGAAACCACATATGCTTTAAGCATGGACTATTCTATGCACGAAAACCCATTTGATGAAGATGATATGTGATATTAGACACTGATCATGTACACATTTTTAATGCTTAACGACTGCTTTTCTTACTTACTGTATTAAAAATGGATTTAAAATCATTTGCTGAAATTAAAAAAAAAGTCAAAAAATTGAAAAAAATTCGGATTTTTGATGGTTTTGAATGCCTTCGAGCGTTCATATTAATGTCCGTTCATAATTATGTCCGTTCATGTAATGTCCGTCCAAATTAGGTCCGATAAGGTATTTTAACTAAAATCTGAACTTACAACGAAAAGTTTGTTTCCGCCGAATTCTGATGCTGCTGGCTTCTCTTTCTTCTCGCCGTCCTTGAAATGCTGAAAGAATAAAAGTGTTAAATCAAATATTTAAAATAGAGTAATCATGGTATCAGTGTACACAATTCGTTCATAATATCTATAGTCTATACATATTCAATTCTGGAAAGACCACAAAATCCTTAAGTTGATGCATATAGGAGGACCAATATCAATAAAATCAAAACGGTAAATTTATTTAGCTAATAGAATTAGAGCAATTGCAAAACACATACCTAACATATTTATTTATTTTATATAATATCAAAATTTTATAACGGAAGATCACTCACAGGTCCAATTCGAGGATCATCGAA